AGATTTTGGGGTTTCTATCTTAAATAAACAGGAAATGGTATAAGATGTTCCAGAAAGTATTACATATGCGCCTTTTGCATTTTGATGATAATCTAATCAAAGTAACAATGTGCCATTTGCATTTTTATGTTAAATACCAATTCTTCACGGCTTAATCCACGCTAATACGTGTAGTTTAATGGTCGAGAGCGAGACATTAAGTAATATATTGATACAACACGAGTTGTTTCAATATATTACGCAATGTCATAATGCTCGACACCATTAAACAACTTAAATTACAGACACTCGCGCGTGCTTTGCAATGAAATACGTCACGCGGGTCCAAAATTCGACCAAGTATAAATAATGTACGCGTGGCACATTGCCTGTACCATTATTTGAAATAACGGTACGCCAACATCAAAGGATGACGTCACATCTGTGTTTTAATTGCTCAGATTGATTATTTAATATTTAATACCTCACTCATAATATTAATATCCAGGCGGCTTGGATTACATTTTGGTGGATACAAAATGGCTGCGGGCTTATTGCATAGTGGAGAGCATATAGATCGATGACATTTCAGTTCCAGCTATCCTTGTAAATACTGAACAGATGGAAACCATTTTTTGACTGATATTCCTTTTTAGAGATTCCACTTTCCCTATTTTCAAAATTCCCCATCCATGGATTTAATAATGATAATGGATTTAATAATGATAATGTAATAGTCTATTTCCGGCTTGTTTAAATAACAAAAAGTTAACTGTAAATAACGACCATCCGCTTCACGTTTATAAAATTTGTGTTCGATCTGGGTTCTAAGGGAAACCAAGATCGGACTTTGGTATAGCGCTCGTTACTGCTGCACATCAGCATTCAAAGGCGCTTTACAAACCACACACATATTAAAGAACATAACAATCATATAGAACACAATATAGGACAATGGCGGTTAAATCACTTATTCCGGGAATGTGCGCTTAATAATATTGCGTTTATAATGCACCATTTCCATGCAGTTGTTCGTACATTTTTATTTTCGCTCTTTTATTACAGACATAAGACGGAACAGTTTGGTGAAATGAATTGGAAATAACAATTAACGATACTGTGACTAAACCTTCTCAAATTACAATCGCTATCGTAATACAAAAAACCCGAACTATTTTACCTATGTTAAGTACAGAAATACATAAGTGGTATCAGTCCCTCTGTGGAAATTATTATGGATATAATACATGTATAGAACACTTCTATGTGATGGCTCACTAACAGGGGCTTTCCGGCGTGGTTTCCTTGTGGTGGCAATGGACAATGTATAGTAGTTGTTCGGGTGGGACGAAAAGAACCCTTGACAATTGGAATTCGAAATAAGGGTAGGCCGAGCAAAATTTCACCCGTAGCACACGGTATGACGTACGCCCATCTGCACTAGCCCAATCGGTGCAGAACAGTGGGGACGTAAACCCCATTACATTCACAATATTGTTCAAAAGGCGCTTTACAGGACAACTTTCACAATTATAAGATACATGAAAACTGAATAATATAATAAAACTATAAAATATAAAAACAGATATAAAATGATAAATAATATAACAATTATATTTACTGGGGAATAAAGTTATTGAATGAGATTTTAAACGTGATTTAGAAAATAGAGGAGTTTATTGCTTAAAAGAAAAAAGGCTGTTGGCCTATAAACTCGGTCATGCTTTTGTCAAGCAACAAAACATATGAGATTGCCATGTAGGTGAAATACATCTATCTAAATAAAAATAGATAAAATCAAAGTGTGGATGTGTATGTATGTACATGTATGTATATTCGCCCTTCACGCTTCGTCGCCGCGCTCCACTCCATACATATGTGCTATGTATGTACATGTATGTATATTCGCCTATAACGTTTCGTCGACGCGCACCCCCCCCCCCATCAAATCAACCAGCACGACACCGTGAATGTTTTAGCCATAGCATTTAAGCCCCAGGCCGGGGGCGAATTGGTCCCCAAAGTGGGACATTCTGGATTAAGTACATGATTCTGAATTGATACGACTGTAAGTACTGTCGGTACTGTAAGTATCCTGTTTGACATTCAAAATAATTATTCTAATAATGTCGGTATTTTAATTGGTGTAATTTATCAGGATGACATTTTGATAGAAAGATTTAAATATGTTTAAAACGATGAGAAAACATGATTATTTCTATATCTATTGCTGAATAGGTTGTTAATTCACTATTATACGATCATAGGAAGCATAACTAGATGGGGGGGTTGAATGACCGAATGGTTAGCACGTGCGCGCTGTATCATAAGGCCTGTCATTGAGTCAACTGACGTGGTTTCGAATCCCCGATTGTACGTGACAAGGAGTAGGGTTGTCTCCGGGTCCTCAGGTTTCCTCCCACTGCTAAAGACCCCTACGCGCAAGCGAATTATTGAAATAAAATTAAACCATATGTTAGTCCCGAAATTACCTAGTCTGCGTCGAGTGGACGTTACCCCCCCCCCCCTCTCTCTCTCTCTCGTCTAGGGCTAGATCTATTTGTTAAAGGGCACATAAGATGGACAAGGAAACGGCTTTGCTAACCTAATTTTCGTCAAGGTCGCTGAGATGTAAATAAGGTTAGGACACGTGATTGTTGGAGAGATTGTAGGTTAGGTTTCAGAATTTGGGGGAGATGTTAAATCTCCACAAAAGCACTCACCTAGGGTGATGAAAATTTGGTTCGTGATATTTCCTAGTTTTATTAAAAATACATGAAATACATCAGATTAAAATTTATATACATAATTGGTTTCACTGGGGTTTTTTTTTTGGTGTTGGTGGCGCGGATGGTCTTCCTTCGGTGTTTTTTATTATTATAGTGAGAACTGCCAAGGTAGGACTGTGTATAGATTCCATATGTTTAATGCTTTATTTTTAACATATTTTAAATATGTGTCTTAAACAGTGCAACTATTGCTTTAAATATTATGTTTAGTCATTATACCAGCATTTAATAATCTCTCTGTTAGATAGTACTAACAAACAGTTACTAATAGAGACACAGAATATAAACTAAATTATCCTGATTAATGTCAAACTACTTGATTACTACGTATACTTATTTTTGTGTACCTACTTAAAGATGCATTATCTAAGAGCTAAAACTTTTTATTGCAACTGTTGTATGAATTATTATTTAGACATTTATTCACATGACAATCCTATGATCAACTCTCTAGATCATCGGATGGCGCAGATGTAAACGGATTGAAATACGATTGCCATTTAATGATTTAAAAGAGGTCCCAATTAACAAGTAACGTTGCTACGATAATAAACAATCCATGTCAAAACTTTAAACAGTGAATGAAATTTTCAATATATTAATTCTTAATTATCTGTCAATTCAGGATTTTTTTGGTATATTTTTCCTTTGTAAAAATATTCAGAATGACTTTTTAAAATTTCTTAGGGCTAAAAATATTCTGATATTAAGGTTATTTTTCGTACAACTTTTTGCGGTAGTATTCTCAATTAATGGTTACATTTCGTTTGTAGGCTACATATTATGTATGACAAACATTTCAATTTTAAAAAATGTCAAAGTGGTGGAATCAAACTGAGATATCGTTTGATAAGGTTAATTCTGTGTTTCATCAGAACATATTGAGTTGTCATTCATTAAATTCATTCCATCTGAGCATGCACAGTTATATGGCGGTATAGATTGCATCATGTCGGTAGACAGAAATTGGAACATCCACCATTATTATATCCACACAGACTTGGAAATAAAAAATTAAAAATATAGTTTAAAAGAATAGAATATAATAACTTGTTACCCACCCAAACAAAATAGAATATAATAATTTGTTATCGCCGCCCCCGCCCACTTTTACATATCTTTACAAATAGATACTCTTACCCCGAATCTCACACATAGTGGCATTATTTAATCTAACTGCGTTAATCTAAAAACAAAATATGATCGGTGGATCTATTATAGCACGAACTGTCAGCTCATTATGTAAATCGCTAAATCGTACATAATGCATCTTTAACTACAGTGATGAAATTTACACTAAAATATCATGGTTAATGTCAAAGTATTGCTATATATAATTTAACTATAGATTTAAGCTATTCATTTGAAACTAGACTTTAGAACAGACATGTTGAATCTAGTGATTTTTCTGTGGATGCTTCTACCATTCTATACTGACTGTATAGTATTCCCTAGACAAGGTAAACCATTTATTTTTCTTATAGCACGGTATCTATAGTATTCCCTAGACAAGGTAAACCATTTATTATTATTATACCTTTCTATACGGTAACCATAGTATTCCCTAGACAAGGTAAACCATTTATTATTATTTTACCATTCTATACGGACTGTATAGTATTCCCTAGACAAGGTAAACCATTTATTATTATTATACCATTATATACGGACTGTATAGTATTCCCTAGACAAGGTAAACCATTTATTATTATTATACCATTCTATACGGTATCTATAGACAAGGTAAACCATTCATTATTATTATTTCTGCCATTGTATAGCAACATGCTGAAGAGTGGTGTCAGAGGACAAGTTAATCTCACATAAAATGCGGGCGTATCACGGAATCTCAAAAACATTGACCGCTTGGGCACAGATGTAATCAATATCCGCGCTGTCTTATCTTTGCGACAAATAGGCCGTTAAACCTCATTTCATTACAGTTGTTAGTTTTTGGGTTCAATAGAACCTAATTGATGGCATTCGACCAGGAACCGAGCATGACGATGCCCCTCAATCAGTTCGCATTTGTCCAATGAACAATTATATTATACTAGAAGAATGCACGGCTTTGCTCGTGGGTCATAACCCCGAAACCGGAAGTGGTAGACTAACGCCACCTGGCCTATGTTACTCCCTGGTCCGAGCTACCCCTTTTCCCCAAATTGCAGACTCGGGGCAGACCTAGTGTAGCCGCCAACCCCGAACAGACAGACAAACAGACAGACAAACGACAGTCGCAAATATTAGTATAGATAGATTTCAGGTCGATCGTATTTAACATAGCGAAGCCTTAGGCATTCTTCGCAACATCGTGGCCACCAAAAAGTACAACAAAACAACAAGAGGAAGAGTAGGACTCGTCTAGTTCCATCGCAGCACTCACTTATTGCGAGGAGCCGCGCCTGCACGTGCTATGTGGCAAGTTGAGTTGTTCTGGCTATAACATTAGGATGGATAAAGTCTATGAACAAATTAAATCAGATAAATAAGGACTAGTCAGTCACCGGGTCGGATTAAGCTTACATGGGCTCCCTGGCTGAATATGGCACTTGGGCCCTTGCTTCAACAGTCGGGCATATTTCCGTGCACCCCGTCCCCCGGTTGCCTTACCGTAGCTGCGAAATTTTATTCCCCTAACGCATTTCATATTTATTTATGCTAAAAATAATTCAACAATTCACCCCCTTTTATATGGCCCTGGCTAGACTAGGTCCACCCGAACAACAAGAAACAGGTACTGTATTAGAATTATAGGTGTTCCCCACACAAAAAAATGAAGAAATGGTGTTCCACGTCCTACTATTCTGCTCCGACTGGGCTAATGAAGACGGCCTTACGCTATACAGTATGTGATGAGGGACAGCGGAGGTACGGCCTACTCTTATTTCGCATTCCAACTGCCAAGGGACCTTTTACGTGCACGCCAATGTGTACACAGGACTCTCCACAAAAAAAAAAAAAAAAAAAAAAAATAGCTTGAAATCTAACAATTTCAAGTTTGTTGTACATGTGGTTTGTGTGTTTCGGGTAACTTGTCAGATAATCAAAATTACAAATTTTTCAGATGAAGGTCCTCTGATCGCCGTGTTGGATTTTGATAATAAAATGGATATCTTTGATCCTTCTGATGGAGCTGATGCTACTGCTATTGAACGAATCAACTTAATGGGTGGACGGGGCGGTGCTTCTTGTAGCATTGACTTTAATTACAGAGGCAATATGATTTATTGGACTGATATATTTATTAATAAGGTCTACAGGTAAAATAGGATTTATTGGACAAATTTATAAGGGTCTATAGGTAAATTAAAAATATGAAATGAAATGGGTTTGAGATCCTACTGTTCTGCGCCGATTGAGCAAGACGGGCATACGCCATACACTATACGATGTCCCTCGGCAGACCCTCTGTCCTGCATCATTGGCAAGGGGGAACCACGTCGGAGAACCCCGATGAACTTTCTCGGCTAACACCAGGATCGAACACGGCTCAAGGTTAGCCAACAAACATCTTACTCATTGAGCCGCCGCGGCAGTGTCAGTGGCACAGTACGGACGTAAGAATTACATCAAGAGCTGTTCGTTCTTGCTATAATAGTTCAAAATGAAATAATGAGATAATGAAAAATCGATATATTGGAAATTGTATTCTAATTTCTTTATTCATTCTGAGGGTAGATAGTATTTAGTGATGTAGCAAAGATTGTTTATTATCGTAGCAATTTTAAATTGAATTATTAAATGGCGGCTGTGTTTCAATCCACTTATATCTCGACCATCCGATGATCTGGAGAGTAGAATATAGGCATATCATGTGAATGGATGTCTTAATAAAATGTCTTTCTTTTGGTTTCAACCGTTATATAAAATATTATTTGGAAATTTATGAAGACAAGTATATAATTGCACATTTTATTTAAATTGTTTAAGCGGTATTAGAACCAGAATATGACACAATTATATGGAATACAAGTTACTTGGTAAAGACGAGAGAATACTGATGGAAACGTAGCTGGAAATAAACTTCTAAAGTAATTTGTGTTCCATATAATTTCATAGTTTAAAGGCCGATGGTGGTGATCAGGAACAGAAGGTTATATTGGAAGATGATTTGGCTTCACCTGAAGGTCTGGCGTATGATTGGATACATAATAATTTATACGTCAGTGACTGGCGACTACATAAGATATTGGTAATTAACCCAGAAACTGGAGCCCGGAAAACTTTATTAACTGATGTACATGAAGTACGTGACGTGGAAGTCGATCCGAAAACTGGGTAACGCATTTATTTTATTTATATCTTCAGATTAACAACCACCGACGTGAATGGTTTTGGTTTAAATATTTGTTAGAACTCTAGCCTCAAATCATATCTGGAATAAGGGTTTACAGCAATTATAGTAGAAATACGGTTTGGAGAGAACTTGTATAGGTTCTTGGCTGTTGTTAAATCCTATTCAGTTTATCGAATAAATTCTTTAAACAAAATACTGTTATCAATAATTTCTGACATTTGATATAACGGGAGATAACTACTTGTACCATTAATGGATTTCCATAATTCTTTCTGTACCCATGCCCTGTTTATGGGTATTTTTGGGATTTAAACAATACACTGATCTTAGCCAAGGATGACATCATTGGATATTTTCGCCAATATTCAATTTTATGTTAACATTAGAATTGTTAGTATAACTATAGCATTTATTTGACAATTATTGTAATTTTCATCTATCCCTAAATCAAGTGTGTCCAAACATTTTGCCAGGGGTGGATCCAGGCATTTTTCCAGGAGAGGGTTTGCCGGTTTCTTTTTAAGGAAATTTGACAGTATTGACAATGCATGATGCCACGTCTCCAAATTACGTAGGCATACATACACACTGTCACTAGGCTTTTTTAAAGAGGGAAATTCCACACCCAGTTTGACGTCAATTTTTATAATGAATTAATAGGATCACAATGTGATACAATTTCATTGATGCAAAGCATTAATTGTGATATCCCCTATGTCTATATCATTAACCCGCGCTTTGAATGCCCATCCCATTCCACCAACTGATGATAAAGGATAAATCACACGACCGTGACGCTTTTCTCCGCTCCCCGCCCTCTGGACTCGCTTTTGTTTTGCTTGGAAATGATCGGCATTAGTTTACAAAATTTCTCATCTGTTTTATACTGTTGGCATACTGGTAGATGGGAGAGGGGGTATATGTAGCGAAATGTCACTCCTAGAAAATCTGGCTGTTAATAAATATTTTATTGCCTAGGTGGTTATACTGGATAGCTGGATGGGATGAAACAGCTGTGTTAATGAAGTCAACATTAGATGGACAGAATCAAGTTGTAATATCTTCTGATTTAGACAGACCAAAGAGTTTATCTTTAGGTGAGATTCGACTATTTGAAATTCACGATACAGACGTCAAAGTACACTGGACTTTTGGAATCAAGTAGTTGTTTGGTGTTTGAAATTCTAAAATCAAAGTAGTGCCAACTTCTAAAATACACGTATCTACGTATCCAAGTATTTGAAATTCTGAACTCAAAGTATTTTAATTTCTGAAATCCAAGATGTTTTGGCTTCTCAAATCAAAGTACAAATTATTGACCCCTATAACTATATGAGTATACACTGACATACGTACTCTATCTATAATATTCGATAACACTAAATTACGACCTTAGGCGTAGGAGCCGGGGGCTGGGGTGCTTGGAGGCTGCACGGGCAGTGTATTTCCGTTTTTCGGGCACAAACATCAGAGAATGAGACCATATATATATATATATATATATATATATATCATAGAAATCTAATTGTAAAATGATATAGCTCGCGCTTTGCGTTTTGAATACTCGTTTTAGTTAATGTTTCGGGTGACAAAGAAAACTTTCGGGCAAATAGCCCAACTGAGATTGCCACCCTACGCCTATGCTTGCGGCTGCCTCAACTTTCAAATAAGCTAGCTGCGAAAATATTTATTTAAATATTGCTTTTAAATTGATTTTCTCGAATTCGGTCCTGGATCAGGACACCAAGCCATAAAACGCAACACAGGAGATCGGCGGCTAATCGAATATGTAATAATGTCCTGCTTTACCTCTTAAATTCTTGTCTTCACGATGTGTTTGGAAATGGACTTCGCATTGTGTTATTTTAACAATAACACCGCGTAATCAAACATCGTGACTGGTAGAAAAATTATGACATCTAATATGTTATTGGGATACACTGCCCCTAGCTCTACACGTGTAATACATATAGTGTGAGTCGTAGACAGATTCTGGTATCTATTAGTATAAGTGTAATAGTGTGAGTGGTGGTCAGATACTAATGTAATATTAGTATACCCCGTCTCTAGATCTACACGTGTCAAGCATATAGGGTGAGTGGTAGACAGATTCTGGTATCTGATGAGTTGTATATATTTATAGATTATGATGAGCAGAAATTGTATTGGACTGAAGTATATCCTGTAAAGCTGATTAAAAGTATTGGTGTCGATGGAGAAAATCTCACAACAGTTCATCGAACAGGCGCTGGCCGTAGAGCTCCACCACAATTCATGACTGTATCGAGGGTAGGTCCCGTTAAACATACATTATACAAGAGCTAAATCTGGTCTTTATTTAGTCTTCAGATGTCATAGAAATTATAAATTAGATCTTTATTTACACAACAAGCACAAAATCAACTCTGTAGACCCATGGATGGCTTGGATTCAGCTTGGATTTAAACGGGATTTCGTTGACTGATTTAATTTTAAATGTCGTGAGCGGAGATTAACCGTTACGTTGACGTCATACTCCCGGATCGAGGCTAAATGATAGAGTGTACAAAGCGAGACCGCTGCTGAGCGATGCCTTGACAAATGACATCTAAACTATTTAAAGTGCAATAAACTAAACACAGATAATGACAAATTATACAATTCCTGGAGACCGTGTGATGACTAATACAGACGGACAGGTCTTCTGTCTTAATAATATCAATAAAAATATTTTTATTTCCCCAATAGGCACGACGACACTGCCACTGGTGTAGACCTATAGATTTATCATAATTGTATTATATTATGTCCTATATTCAATTGATTTAATGCATGCCCAAAATACAAGTAAGAATGAAAATTTACCCTCTCACTCATTTTGTCCAATTGTTATAAAAATCCAAAAAGGTAAAACAGTGAGAGGATAAATTTTAGTAAAACACAAATTCGGATATGATGACAGCAGACAAAAGACAGCAGAGTTTATGTAGGTGGAGTTAACGCCTGTCAATCAAACGATCGGCCATACTAAGAATCAGTGAAGATGGAATTCAGTCCCATTTCTAGTCAAAAATTACACTGGTGATAACTATGTTCAGAATAAAGTAATTTGACTGAAATTTTCAATATATCCTTCTTTCATCATCTTTTTTTGAACTGTTATAGCAAGAATGGCTAACTCCTTATAAAAATCTCCCATAATGTATCTTTAAGCGGTACTATCACTTTCAACAAGAACTGAAATGAAATACAATAGGGTTTAACGTCCTACGGTTCCGCACCGCAGTGTGCTATGAAGGAAATTTTACCGGGACAGCGGCACCACGGCCTACTGTTTTATGGAATTCCAACTGTATATTAAACAACTATAGATTGAAATAAACACAGTTCTATGGAAAACAATTACTGTATTTTTAACGAAGCTACGTTTCTTAAATAATTATTTTGTCGTTTTCAAGCCAACAAGGTTGGTGTTCCATAGAACTGCTATGTTTATTTGAATGTACTTGATTACTAAATGCCGTTTTAGAACTGCGATGTTTATTTGAATGTATTTGATTACTAAATGCCGTTTAAACAGTTAACTATAGACTAAGTATCACCTTCCACAAGACATGTGTAATATAATAGCAAAACAACCATAGACTGGATTAATAATCTGATCAGAGGCGTGGGGCCAACTCCCTCTTTGTATGCCCGCCCCCCCCCCCACCAAGTCTCAAGTATAGGACCAACTCCCTGATTATATGCCCCCCACCCCCCAGGTCTCACGTATAATGTCAACTCTTGGACTGTATGCCTCCCAAGACTCAAGTATAGGATCACCACCTTGGCTGTATGCCCCCAAGATACCAGTATGGGGTCAACACCTTGGCTGTATGCCTCCAAAGACTCAAGTATAGGGTCAACTCCTTGATTGCACCCCCTCTCCCCCTCAGCCACAGACTGGAGTATAGAGTCTGGGAAGTGTGAGAAAGGGGTCTTTTAATAGAAGGAGATGATAAGCTTTTTTTTTATTTATCGTAGCCGGTATTACCTGCTGGCTTTGTGTGTGCCCTCTTGCAAAGACTCAATTATAGAAATGTGAGAAGGAAGTCCTTATGTAAACGCATAAGAAATCAAGTTTTACGTGCGGGTATTACGTGCAGGATTTATATGACCAATACTGAATGAATTGTTGATTTTCAGGACTATATCTATTGGAACCAAGCTCATCAAAGTATAAGACGAGCAGAAAAACAACAGGTAACTGAAATTACCAGGTACGGGAAACTAGAAGAGCATGGCGACTATGGCATCACGACAAATCTGTTTATGGGCATTCTTGCTATTGATCCAAGAAAACAGACAGAAAGTAAGAAACTATACAGTTCTTTATTGTATTAAAGATGCATTATGTAAGATTTAGATAAAGAACTGACAGTTCTCGCTATAATAGTTCTATTAAAGATGCATTATGTAAGATTTAGATAAAGAGAGAGAGAGAGAGAGAAATGGGGTTTAACGTCCACTCGACACAAACTAGGTCATTTCGGGACTAACATATGGTTTAATTTTATTTCAATAATTCGCTTGCGCGTAGGGGTCTTTAGCAGTGGGAGGAAACCGGAGGACCCGGAGAAAACCCACGAGGTTGGACAGGCGACCCTACTCCTTGTCACGTAAAACCGGGGATTCGAAACCACGCCAGTCGACTCAATGACAGACGTTATGATACAGCGCGCGCACGCTAACCATTCAGCCATCCAACCCCCCTTTAGATAAAGAGCAATAATAACTCCCAGGATCATATTTTTTTAAAAATTAACGCAGTTAGATTAAATTATACCACTTTGTGTCACGATTCGGGGTATTTATTTGTGAAACTATGTAAAAGTGGGCGGGCGGATAACAAATTATTACACTCTATTTTGTTTGGGTGAATAACAAGTTATTACACACTATTTTGTTTGGGTGGATAACAAGTTATTATATTCTATTTTGTTTGGATGGATAACAAGTTATTATATTCTATTCTTTTAAACTCTATTTTTAATTTTGTAGGTCCAAGTCTGTGTGGAGATAATAATGGTGGGTGTTCCCATTTTTGTCTACCGACATTGATGCAGTCAATTCCGCCATATAACTGCGCATGCCCAGATGGAATGAATTTAATGAACGACAACTCAACATGTGCAGATGAAACACAGAATTAAATTTATCAAACGATATCTCAGTTTAATCCTTAAAGCGGTGGACACACTAGCCGAATGATTCGGCCGAATCAATCGGCGTCGAAATTCGCCTAGTGTGTCCACTGTCATTCGGCCGAATGATTCGCCCGAATCAAACAGGTTTGATATATTCGGCCGAATTATATTCGCCTGGTGTGTCCGCTTCGCCGAAGCATTCGGCCGAATATAGAATTCATTAGCCAATCACCACTCATATCGAGAAGTCACGTGATAGATTGAAGACATAGACGCCGCCATGTTTAATCACGAGACGTGAAAGGTGATGCAATCGACAGGTTGAATCGGGCGAAGCATTCGGCTGTGTGTCCATCCATTCGGCCGAATAAAATTCGGCTCCGATTGATTCGGCCGAACGATTCGGCTAATGTGTCCACTGCATTAGTGGCATTCAATAATTAATAACAATTAATTAAGTATGGCTTCATATTGTACATTTATATATATAGACCCTCCAGTTTATTAAATGTCATTAAATGTTATTAAATGAGTCAACTGGCGTGGTTTCGAATCCCCGGTTGTACGTGACAAGGAGTAGGGTCGTTTGTCCAACCTCGTGGGTTTTCTCCGGGTCCCCCGGTTCCTTCCCACTGCTAAAAGACCCCTACGCGCAAACGAATTATTGAAATAAAATTAAACCATATGTTAGTCCCGAAATGACCTAGTTTGTGTCGAGTGGATGTTAAACCCCATTTCTCTCTCTCTCTCTTTTGGGTTACCAGCAAACAGAATAACTATATTTAACCATGTCAAAACGTGTAATCATGTCAATACTGTAACCAAGACAATAGGTGTAACCATGACAATACATGTAACTATGCGAATACAAGTAACCATGACGACACGTGTAGCCATGTGACAATACATGTAAGCATACCAATATTTGTAACCATGGCAATACATGTAACCTTCTCGCTGCATATAATCATGTCAATTTGTGTAACCATCACGATACGTGTATACATGACAATACGTATAACCATGTCATTACGTGTAACCATGACAATACGTGCAACCACAATATGTTTAACCATGCCAATAACCTTGACTTGACCCCCATCAATGCTAGTGACAGATTTTAACATCCACCATATTTGGATTACTAGGTTGTGATGTCATTTCCCGATTTTAATCTGCTCATTTCACCCCACAGCAAAAGGTATAGCGTATGGATAGACTCATAAGACCTTAAAATGCACTAATTTCACTTATGAAGTGCAGCTGTTCGACTTTGCAATGTAAGCAGTGCCGGATCTAGGGAAACCAAAGTGGGACACCCCCCCCCCCTTATTATGGGTTGAGTAAAAGATTTTTAATTGATACGTAAATTTGACTGTAGTTCGTAAATTAATCGACTTTCGCGGCTAATGATGCCTTATATAGACTTTCACTAGTCAATGGTTGGGATTTATACCTTGATTGTATTTTAAAACGCATCTCCTACAACAAACACATGTTCAATATTTATATGTTATTTAACTTGTGTTGCTCGCCAAGTATATACCTCAGAAAGCACCAAATCGACCCTTTTTGCAAAATGTTTTGTGGGGGGACCCCCGCAACCCCGTCGGGGAATTCGTACTGCTCTCCCTACGCTTTATATTTCTTAATTCAGCCCAACCTTCAATGACCTTTGCCGACCACCCTCAACCGGGCAACAAAGTAAATCCGGCCCCTGAATAAAAGTGCATTAACACGAATTCAAATTGTGCTTTAGTGTAATTATTCTGTTTGACATTCAAAATAATTCTTCTAATAGTGTTGGTATTTTAATTGGTTTTATTCACCAGGATGACATTATACTGATCGAGAGATTTACACATGTTTAGCAATTATACATCAATTTAAAAATCTCTTTGTCCGATGGTAAAGTCCAACACTTCAACTACTAAACAATTAACATGAAGGCCACAGAATATAAATTACATTATCCTGATTAATGTCAAACTACTTGATTACTACGGACACTTATTTGATGTATTTAACTCCGGTGATGAAATTTAAGCTATTCATTTGAAACTGGACTTTAGAACAGACATGTCGACTCTATTTATTTTTCTGTGGATGATTTTACCATTCTATACTGACTGTATAGTATTCCCTAGACAAGGTAAACCATTTATTATTATTATACCATCCTATACGGTACCTATAATATTCCCTAGACAAGATAAACCATTTATTATTATTATACCATTCTGTACGGTATCTATAGTATTCCGTAGACAAGGTAAACCATTTATTACTATTATACCATTCTATACGGACTGTATAGTATTCCCTAGACAAGGTAAACCATTTATTATTATTAAATCATTCTATACGGTATCTTTAGTATTCCCTAGACACGGTAAACCATTTATTATTATTTCTGCCATTGTATAGCAATATTTAAAGATGCTATAGAAACACATAAAAATGATTGACCAAATTCTATCAATTTGTTGTGTTTCTCTGTACTTAAGTAGATGTTTTTTATCGGGGGCTATCTGAATTTCGATAGGGTTCTTCCGTAAGACTAACTGAATAATACTAGCTAATTTGTATTTTTTTTTCACGGGAATTATTATTGAAAGACATTGTACGTTTGGTTTGTTGGTTTCGGGTAACTTTTCAATAATTCGATATATAAATATTTCAGATGAAGGTCCTCTGATCGCCGTGTTGGGTTTTGATCGAAAAATGGATATCTTTGATCCATCTGATGGAGCTAATGCTACTGCTATTGAACGAATCAACTTAATGGGTGGATGGGGTGGTGCTTCTTGTAGCATTGACTTTAATTACAGAGGCAATATGATTTATTGGGCTGATTATTATGTTAGCAAGGTCTACAGGTAAAATTACAAAAAACTGTAATGGGGTTGAAGGTCCTACTGTTTTGATCCGACTGGGCTAATGAAGAAGGTCATACGCCAAATACTACACGTTGTTCATTGCCAGGTCATCTGTCCTGCATCACTGACAGAGGGTAGGATGGCCGAATGGTTGGCGCGTGTATCATAAGGTCCCTGTCATCAAGTCAATTGGCGTGGTTTCGATTCTCCGGTTGTACGTGACAAGGAGTAGGGTCGACTGTCCAACCTCATGGGTTTCTCCCTGTCCTCGGGTGTCCCCCAACTGCTAAAGACCCCTACGCACAAGCTAATTATTGAAATGAAATTAAACCTTGTGTTAGTCCCGAAATGACCTAGTTTGTGTCGGGTGTAAGTTTAGAAAAAAAAGCTGGTTGTTCTTGCTATAATAGATTAAGAAAAATAGAATATTTGAAATTGCATTCTAATTACTTCATTCTAAGCGAAGTTAGTGTTTGAAGTTGCAGCATAGATTGTTTATTATCGTAGCAAGTGTACTTGACAATTATCCATTTTTAAATTGAATTATTAAATGGCAATTGTGTTTCAATCCGATTGTCTAGAGATTGGATTATAAAGTATTATTTTGACAATCCTATATAATCAACTATATCATATATGTCAGAGATTTAAATCAATCGATACAATGGGTATTCAAGACAAAGTTTCGCTTGTCCAGTACAATTGCTACGATAATAAACAGTCTAAGCCACAGCTTCCAATACCCATAACCTTGCTGAGATTAAAGTCATTTGAATGATATTTTCAATATATTCAGTTTTTATTATGTTTGAGCTATTATAGCCGGAACAACCAGCTCTTTATCTAAATCTTACAATATGCATCTTTAATATTTAACTTTATAATAATTTAATTTTATTTAATTATACTTTTACATCATGTATCCATGTATTAACTCTTTGTGTCAGGCAAATGTCTCTCATGGCGTACAAGGTGAAATGAAATGGGGTTAAACGTCCTACTTTTCTACTCCGACTGAGCTAATGAAGACAACATTCGCCATACAGTGTGCTATGAGGAAAATTGGCAAGGGGGAACGACGCCTGAAAGTCCCGATTAACTTTCTTGGCCAACGCAGGGATCGAACACGGAACCCCAAAAACGAGCCAACGTCTTATATCTGACTGGAAATAAGCTCCTTAACTTGTGTTCCATATAATTTCATAGTTTAAAGGCCGATGGTGGTGATCAGGAACAGAAGGTTATACTGGGAGATGGTTTGGATTTCCCTGAAGGTCTGGCGTATGATTGGATACATAATAATTTATACGTCAGTGACTTCAGACAGCATGAAATCATGGTAATCAACCCAGAAACTGGAGCCAAGAAAACTTTAATAACTGATGTCCCTGACGTACGTGACGTGGAAGTCGATCCAAAAACTGGGTAACACATTAATTTCGATCTGATTAAAGCACAGGTCTATATTCCGTTTCGTATTTTTTTTTATACTTTCGATGGCCTCCACTGCATGAACATCTGACCGGAGATCACGTCAGGGGGTCATATGAGTGACTATTGAACGTATGACGTCATAAGTTGATTAACCAATCAGCAAGAACTCGCCTCATTATACCGATACATTTTTAATCCCTCACATCAACCAGAACGCGGGTTATATAACAACTCTACCAGATCCTGGGGCAAAACGAAATTTTGAACTATATAAAACGAAATGAAATAGGATCTGTGTTTTAATCAGATTTACTTTAATTCTACACGTATCTTCAGATCAACAACCATCGACGTGAGCTGGACTCGAAATGCTTTGAGTAGTGAGAAAATTAAATATTTATAGATGCTTTGTTTAAGTTTAATTGTTACAACTTTAGCCTCAAATCATATGACATGGTTATACGTATTGTCATGGTAACAACATGTGGAATTATAGTAGAAATAAGGTTTGGAGAGAACTTAATAAAATATTCTTTAAACCAAATTCTATTATCAATATTTGCTGACATTTGGCATAAAGGGAGAAAACTCGTTATCATTAAAGGATTTCCAATATTCCTAGGGTACCCATGTCCTTTTTTATGTTTTGGGTGTTCTTGTTTAGATCAAAATTTAACCAATACACTATATTTAGCCAAAGATAAAGGCATTAGGTATTTTCGTCAATATTCAATTTTATGTTAACATTAGAATTGTTAGTATAATTTATAGCATTTACTTGACAAGTATCACAATTTTCAGGTTAGTGCTAAATGATAAAGTCAGCTCAGTTTTTCGTCATAGGTCACGAGATGTAAACAGGGCTAGCGCTTATCGCAACCCGAACCATGGACCTAGCCCAAATTCTTACCCTAACCCTAACCTACAATCTCGCCAACAATCACGTGTCCTAACCTTATTTACATCTCAGCGACCTTGACAAAAGTTGAGTTGGCCTTAACCAATTTTATGCAGGCCTAATTTTATATATTAACATTGTTAATAAATATTTTATTCCCTAGTTGGTTATATTGGATTTGTGGTTGGGAAGAAACAGCTGTGTTGATGAAGTCAGCATTAGACGGACAGAATCAAGTTGTAATATCTTCTGACTTAGACAGACCAAGGAGTTTATCTTTAGGTGAGGTTCGACTATTTGGAATTCTGGACGCCAAAGTACATTGGATTTTTGGAATCAGGTAGATGTAGATGTTTGGTGTTATCAATGTTACCAGTGTTTATTTCAATATTATCTTTAACAACGCTTTGTCACATAGACCCGACTTCAAAATCCAAAGTGTTTGAAATTCTGAAATCCAAGTAGTTCGAAATTCTGAAATCCAAGTAAAGTCGTCTTCTGAAATCCAAATAGTTTCAACTTCTGAAATATACGTTGCTACGTCTTGGGAAATCCAAAATTTTAACTACACGTGTAATACATATAAAGACAGATTCTTGTAATATTAGTACACTTGTCACTAGCTCTACGCGTGTAATACATATAGTCTGAGTGGTAGACAGATTCTGGTATCTAATGTATTATTAGTATACGCCGTCTCTATACGTGTAATACATAAAGCTCGGTTCATACTACATCCGTATCTATAAACGTATCCGTATCCGCACCCGCGTTTTGCCGTTCAAATAGTAAACGCGAAAACGTCCGGTTTTCAAGGCTGAATTGTCTGGAATGGATTGAGTTTCTATTTGGGGAGATGATGTAATAAGGGGAAAGTACTCGCTGATTGGCTAAAGCTCGGCTCACTACTAGCCGAAATGCCGGACGCACTTTACAAAAATACGCTCTGGGAGCAATCAATCCGGCTTAACGGACGCAGTTGTTTTTGTGCGCAATACGTGCCGGATTCTATTTCAACCCTTTCTCTAAAAATGACTAAAGTATACCAGTACGTATTCACGCACGTATTTACAGATACGGATACGGATGTAGTATGAAACAGCTTTAACCCGGGTTTCAAATGATATTTTAATGGAAGTTGATAATAGAAAATGCTTTCGACACGGTGACACGGTGGACCCTTCCATTCTTCTACGTAGACTTCAATTTAAATTCGGTATTTGTGGCTCTGCATTAAATCTTTTAGAGAGCTATCTTGTGGGTAGAAAACAGTGTATTTTAGTTAATTGCAAATCGTCGTCTGAATCTGTTTTGTCATCTGGGGTTCCCCAAGGTTCTGTTCTTGGTCCGATTTTATTTACCCTCTATACGTCACCATTAGGAGATATTGTCAGAAAATATGGCCTCAGCTTTCATTTGTATGCCGATGATACTCAATTATATATTTCATTTACACCTAATTGTCCATCTTCTTTCGATTTATCAAAATTGCAACTTGAGAACTGTATTAGTGAAATTAGAAAATGGATGTCAAAGAACTTTCTAAAATTGAATGATGATAAAACCGAATATTTGTTATTAGGCTCAAGGCATCAATTAAGTAAATCTGCACAAGATAACCCCCCTGTTGTAATTGGTAATTATGATATATTTTCATCTTATTCTGCTCGTAATATTGGCGCTATTTTTGATAGTTTTATGCTTATGAGAGCTCAAGTAAATAATATTTGTAAATTGTGCTATTTTAATATTAGAAATATAGGTAAAATACGTAAATGTGTAACTGTAGAGGCCACTAAGTCACGTGTTAATTCTCTGGTCACTTCTCGATTAGATAACTTTAATTCACTTTTAGTTGGTTTACCTTTAAAGCTTATAGATAAATTACAAAAAGTACAGAATACTGCGGCTAGACTTGTTACTTTAACTAAGAAATGTGACCACATAACTCCTGTTTTATATAATTTACACTGGTTACCTGTTAAATATCGAATTGATTTTATGATTTTATTACTTACTTTTAAATGTTTAAATAATTTAGCTCCTGTTTACTTCTCAGATCTTTTAGACCTTTATACACCTGGCTGAACATTACGTACATCAGATAAACTACTTTTAAAGCCCAAAACTGTTCAACTAGTCTCTTATGGTCAGCGCTCTTTTAGTTATCAAGCACCTGTTTTATGGAATAATCTACCATTTAGTTTAAGATGTTGTTCATCTCTATATTCTTTTAAAAAACAACTTAAAACACATTTATTTAATCAGGCTTTTAACTGACCCTGTATACAATCGTTAACATGCCCATAATCTTGTTGTTTATGTGTGATTTACATTGTCACTTTGTAAAGTGCCCTGAACATGTTATATGAAAGGGTGCACTATAAATATGCTGTAATCATTTTCAAATTTGCATGGTCCCACCTCCCTAAATTTAGCGCATAGATCAATCAGCATGCAAAAAGACACGCGGGGAAAAATATTAAAATTCCGAGAAAAACTCATGACAAATAATGATTAAATTCTAGTCTTTATCAAATATACACCTTCGTGTTCTAGGATACACATAGATTCATAAAAACGCTAAGGTACAATATTTCAGGGTCTAAAAGTAGCAAAAAATACAGTACAAAGACAACGATGTTATACGGACCTTTTCCGTATGAAAGCTGTTCGATACGTGCCGCCGTATCCCTGTGCCGTATCACGTATGAGAAATACACACACATTGATGACGTCACACGCAAAGTTGTTTCGGATACGCGATACGGATCTGAAATTTGCGTTTGCCAAAAGTCTCTACTGTCTTTAGCCCTACACGTGTAATATATACATATAGTGTGAGTGGTAGACAGATTCTAGTAGACAGATTCTGGTATCTGATGTTTTGTATATATTTATAGATTATGATGAACAGAAATTATATTGGACTGAACTACCTCCTTTCAACAGTATTAAAAGTATTAGTGTCGATGGAGAAAATCTGACAACAGTTTATCAAACAGTCACTGGTCGTCTATCTACACCACCAAAGTACTTGACTATATCGAGGGTAGGTCCCTTTAAGAGGTATAAGAGCCGTGGTGGCTCAGTGAGTAAGACGTCGGATCGCTAACCTGGAGGGTCCCTGTTCAATCCCTGACCGAGAAAGTTCATAAGGATTTTCCTGCGTGGTTCTTCCTTGTCAGTTGTGCAGGATAGAGGTTTGGCAAGGAACAATGTAGAGTCGTCGTACGGATGGGACGAAAAAACGAGGTCCAGTTTACACTTTGACCTGCGCGTAAAAAGTCTGGTTTAACGTCCTGTTGTTGTGCACTGACAACAAAGTCGGTATACGCCATACAGGGCACTGTGGTCTACTCTTATATCGAATTCTAACTGGCAAGGGACTTTTTATGTGCATGGCAATTTGCTTGTCCTCCCACCCGAAGGGCTATGAATTGTCTGGTGCCACACCCATCTAAAGACTTTAATATATGGTCAACTCTACCATTGCATACCCCCTACTCTTATATCGAATTCTAACTGTCAAGGGTCTTTTTATGTGCATGGCATTTTGTTTGTCCTCCCACCCAAAGGACTATGAATTATTTCGTGTCGCACCCATCCAAAGACTCAAATAAAGAGCCAACTCTATCATTGCATCATACCACCGCCCCCCCCCCCCCCCCCCCGGACTCAAGTATAGGGCAAATTCCTTGGTTGTATGTCCACCAAAACTCAAGTACAGAGCCACACCACGACTCAAGTATAGAGCAAAGTCTTTGGATGTCTGCCCCCTTTGAGAAAGGAGTCCTTTAAATCAAGTTTTACGTGTCGGTATTACGTGCATGATTTGTAGGTCAAATACTGAATGAATTGTTGATTTTCAGGACTATATCTACTGGAACCAAGGTCATGAATCCATAAGACGAGCAGATAAACAACAGATAACTGAAAATACCAGGTACAGGAAACTAGAAGAGCATGACGCCAATGGCAAAACGACAAATCTGTTTATGGGCATTCTTGCTATTGATCCAAGAAAACAGACAGAAAGTAAGAAACTATACAGTTCTTTATTTTATTGAAGATGCATTATGTAAATTTAGATAAAGAACTGAAAGTTCTCGTTATAATAGTTATATTAAAGATACATTATGTAAGATTTAGATAAAGAACTGACAGGTCTCGCTATAATAGTGAATTATGCAAGATCTAGATAATGAGCTGACAGTTCTCGCTATCTAGATAAAGAGCTGACAGTTCTCGCTATCTAGATAAAGAGCTGACAGTTCTCGCTATAATAGTTCTATTAAAGATTTAGATTAATAAATGAAATGAAATGGAGTTTAACGTACTGTTTTGCTCTGACTGAGCTAATGAAGACGGGCATACGGCATACAGTGTGCTATGAGGGAAGTTTTGCCAGAGCAGCGGCACTATGGTCTACTTTTATATCTTATATCGAATTCTAACTGCCAAGGCATCTATTCTACTTGGGTGGGTAACAGGTTATTGTATTCTATTCTGTTGGTCAAACTCTATTTTTAATATTTTTAGGCCCAAGTCTGTGTGGAGATAATAATGGTGGATGTTCCCATTTCTGTCTACCGACATTGATGCAATCTATACCGCCATATAACTGCGCATGCCCAGATGGAATGAACTTAATGAATGACAACTCAACATGTTCAGATGAAACACAGATTTAACCTTATGAAACGATATTTCAGTTTGGTGTAATATTCTCGGCTAAAAGAAAACAAATTTAGCTTTTACATTTTTATAATTTAAATTTGATTCAAATCCCCTCTCCAAACTTTGTATTTGCGAGGACATACCCAAAGCTATACAAAATCCATTTTAGAAGCCATGTTTGTCACTTAACTTGATTGAGGAAGGGTCAATATTTCAGAATGTATTTTGTCATTACTTACTGTTCATTTACCATACATATTGAGGCCTAAGTAAATCTGAAATATTTTCTACCAATATTTTCTGTCTGCTGTTGAATTGAAGAGTCTGTTATTCGTTTACACTTACAAATGTTCCCAAAACCGCCTATATAAACCATTCGATCAAGAAATAACAACTAGCAGACAATAAGCCACCCGGTTGTCAGTTAGTGATACCCTGACATTTTTGCCCAGTGCTTGTCCATGGATGGTTTTCGGGTAATCCAGTATTTTTGTAGTAAGATTGGGCGTCTATACTTTCCATATATACCAAATTTGCCATACTTTTATTGGAAATAACCATGCGATAAATAATTTCGCGAGAATGTATCTTTAATAGTTTTTTTAAACACTATTATACATCATAGGAATCATTCTAGTTATTAAAATAATAACATTGGAAATAATAGCAAAATTACCTCCCTTGTTTTCTACACACCGTTGATTTGGCAAAGCTCAGCGTTGCCAATTGATTAACTGACAATAGTGAATTATAAGATTAATGGAACTATGTGTTTTAAAGAGAGAGAGAGAAATGGGGGTTTAACGTCCACTCGACACAAAGTAGGTCATTTTGGGACTAACATATGGTTTAATTTTATTTGCATAATTCGCTTGCGCGTAGGGGTCTTTAGCAGTGGGAGGAAACCGGAGGACCCGGAGAAAACCCACGAGGTTGGACAGGCGACCCTACTCCTTGCCACGTACAACCGGGGATTCGAAACCACGCCAGTCGACGCACTGACAGACTTTATGATACAGCGTGCGCACGCTAACCATTCAGCCATCCAACCCCCCCTATGTGTTTTAAGGTTTTATTTTTAACATATTTTGAACATATGACTTTAAAAAACGCAACTATCCCTTTAAATATACTTAGCAAATTTCTGTGTTCGATAGTGGTGTCCAGCTAATAAACAGGGTCACAGAAGAGAAGCGCATCCAGACACCCATTTCTCCCCCAACCCAAATTGCGATCCCTTTAGATCCAGATTCTTGACTCAGATCACTGGAAATTGCAATTCTGGGCTTCTGGTCTACAAAATTTTCCTGAGGAGGCTTGAAATGGCAGCGTTAATCTCTACAATGGAAGACTTAACAGTGACTATCAAGAAGTATTGTATATTGTAGGCTGTTAAACCAACATATTTTCTCTGTTTATCAAGTTAAAACTGAATCTTTCGGTGATAAATAATTTATTTTTTTAAGAAATGTTTTCTCTATAAAACATGTACATTTTCTGGGATTATAACAAGATGAATTATACTGGTATGAAATAAAAGGTAAAATGAACTAAAATCTACAACATATGGATTATCTTATAAATATCACAGAGTTATATGTCTTACATTGTGGTCTAAGGGGAGATAACAAGGTCAGATGAAGTATATGATTTATAACATCTACAACAAATAGATTATCACAGTAACCATTTAAAAAAAAAAAGCCATTGTGGTCTAAGGTGAGCCATTGGTTATGAGGCTTAGTTATATGCCTTAAGGTCTGATAAAGTATGTAAATTATATAGGTACGAAGTAAAAACGGATAATGCACTAACATCTACAACAAATAGATTATCATATAAACATCACTAAGAACTGATATAGTTAATCTAATTATATGATTCACAACCATTTCAAAATGTTTCAAATTTTGTGGTCTAAGGGGAGATAATAGGTACAATACAGAGTTATCTGCCCTACATTAACCTTGTGAAAATGGGAATTTGGGGCTAGAAAGCATGTGCCGACTGCATGATAAAATACCTCAACCAACCATGACAGCTGAAACATAGTCATTGTGTTAATTACGTCATGATTCTACTCAAATCACCTCCATTGTCAAGACTGACAGAATTGTGACAGGACTGAATTCTGCGTCACTTGATTGTAATTGTATCAATTCGGAATGGACTGACAATCATGCATCCCCAATGTGATATGATGTGAAGATCACATACAAGTTGATTAAAACAATTCACAACGATTTAAAAACATGTAAAATGTTTCGCATATTCTGTTATCATTATCTATTTTTTAACTATTATAGCGAGAACTGTCAGCTCTTTATCTAATCTTACATAATGCCGCTTTAACAGAACCCAATTTTTATGGAAAACAATCACTGGTTTTAATATATATGTAAGAGGATAATTGTTGAAACATCATGCTTTTAAACCCCACAAAAAATGACCGTCTCCGTAACTATTGTGTTCTGTTTGCTTTAAATATTAGGAGATATGTTCTTCTGGTGAGGCACTCTACCAGTGATTACAATCATTGTATTTCAAAGCAACCCAGTACTTTTGTAAAAAAAACAGTGGTTGTTTCCCAATGGAATGTTATTTTGAAATATTTTATCTATTTGAGTTTGAGATCAATAAAATAAATTTAATTAAAGACTATTTCAGTTTTTCTTCGGTACGTAATTTCGTTTGAGAAGATTTCTATCGTCACTGTGAGGTTTCTTGTTTTTCGACTTTGATGTTCGTCGCTTGGCACTTCTACCTCGTGGGTATCTGGTATCTTCACCATCCTGTAAAATATCAATTCAATAGTTGGCATGAGAACAAAATGCTCCTTATTTCAAAAGTGGGGCAGTTTCAAATCCCTGGTTGTACGCGACAAGAAGTAGGGTCTCCTGTCCAACCTCATGTTAGTCCTGAAATGTCCTAGTTTGTGTCGAATGGATGTTAAACCAATCATTCTCACGACTAATCAATTTCTCAACATCCCTCTTGAAAGTAAATAGTTGTAAGCCCAACAATCATTATCTAACCTAACTGGACCATTTTAAACATCACAACAGCAGGAACCCAATATTTTTGATGATTCTCAACGACTTTTAAAAGAGTCATCCTGTTTCTAAGAGGTTTCAGAAAAAAGTCTGTATACATCTGAAATTTAAGCACCAAAATATAGAGGAATGGTGTATTTACCTTGTCTCAAAATTTCAGCTCAATATAATGAGTCGTTTGCATGTGAATGTTAAGATTTTGTGTCAATTTTTTCGATAGGTGACCTGACAATCCATTGCAGCTCTTTTAGAGGTCTATACAGTGCATGACCCAAGTGCTGTACTTGATAACGAATGGTAAATTTCCCCTACACATTATTTTTATAAAATAAAATTCTGGTTTTATCCAGACACGTGTAATACAGCTTAGGATATCGGTCTCCATTTGCAGATGAAGACTGATGGGTTTAAGTTGTTTAAAAACGTACATGTATCACGTATATTGAGTTAGTTGCAGCAGCCCTAAGATAGAGAATTTTAAGGGTGTTTAACACAAAATTAAGCAGTTTTATTCCCGAAAATATAATCGAGATTGGCCCTTTAACAATTTGCCAATTGAAAGAAAACATTAAGTACATAAATACAGAAACACTCAGTAAAAAAAACCCCAAAACTACACAATAACCGATTTATTTGTCAACTTACTGAATGCCCGAGTCTTGAATCTAATTGCGATGTTAAGTAGGCTAATTCTTTCCTATACGCGTCTAAATCAGCTTCCAGCTTCTCTCTCTTTAATCTTTCATAATCAAGTTGCGATTCTAATTCTCTGATCGTGCTGAAAATAAATATAAAAAATTAAAACAAGAAAACCCAGTACCAGATTTCGATGAAGAGAGATGCTAGACTATTCGGTTTTCGGTCTCCCACCTTCACAATTACAGGAAAATGATCCTGGGTTTTTAAACAGCATTGAGCAAAGACGACGATGACAGATGTTCAAGACTACAATGCACATGACCTGTCAAAAATAGTTGACACCATGGCTGGAGGGGTCCCCTAGATCTTGAGATGACTGGCTTCAACATGCTAAGCCTATAGGTAAATATTATTTAATGACAGGAATCTTTAAGTAGCGAATAGGTTTGTTCAAGGGAATTCCTTGACCAACACTGGGACCTACCATGAAACATGTTTTTTACATCCATGGAAACACACACAAATTATTTTATCGAAGAATTTCTATACAGCAAAAGGTACACTATTGTAATATGTTGAGGTCATGGAAATTTCTTGCCAAACACCGAATCGACCACTGGACGTCCTGGTTATTGAGCAAGCGCCTTAACTTACTGAGCCATGACAATACATAAAATAGATCTTACTGGTTTTTACTCTGCAGTTCAATTCTCTCCTTTCTATATTCAGGTACAACACCACCAAGTTGAACAAAATTCTTCTTAGCTATTTCTAATTGTTTTTCTAATTCTTCTATTCTTGTGCATGCTCTACCTGCAAATACAACACAATTATTTATTTATTTATTCATTAAAATACTTCTTGATGTCCAGCATTTCGGTCTTCAAAGACCTTCATCAGGGATATCAAGCTATGTTCACAATATTTCCATCATAGCTATGGTAACAGGTTATGAGCTAAATATTACAATGATATCATTATTACTGTGACATCATGAAGCAAGGCTATTTACTTATTTATTTGTACCATAACTAAAATATCTCATTATGTTTGATCTAATTTTTTATGTCACTAAATGTTTATATTATATTCTTTTCTATTTTCTATATCCCCTGGAAAGAACTTCTATACGCCTTGCCTGTTTTTCAATCCTTTTCAGATGAATAAAATATTGTTTAAACTAAATAACTAAAATTATACTTTGTCTCTACCTTAAAGAAGCATTATGTAAGATTTAGATAAAGAGCTGGTCTTTCTTGGTATAATAGATCATAAATAGATTATGCAAAATGAATATATTGAAAATTTCATTCAAATTACTTTATTCTGAGCGAAGTTATTAGCATTTGAAGGTTTGACAAGATATGTGCACTGATTGTAACCACTGTACTGGTTGTTTGAAGCTTAGCCTCCCTTCACCATTTTTAAATTAAATGGCCCAACCGTTCTAAGCAGACCCACCCGATGGCGTTGAGAGTTGATTATGGTCTTGTCACATTAATAAATGTGTAATTAATAATTTTTATAACATTTCAGGCCTAAAGAAAGACCTGCAATAGACAGATTTAGATCGTGCATAATGGCTGTTTAATTATATGACCTAAAATTTTGTAAACCTTATCTACAAGGAAGTAACTTAATACACACAATTTATTTTCAAATGAACAAATGTGCAGATAACTAATTTACATATCTAAAATAAAAACTAATTTACATATCTAAAATAAAAACTAATTTACATATCTAAAATATAAACTAATATCTAAAATAAAAACTAATTTTGATATCTAAATTAAAACATATCTAAAATTTAAATATCAAAAATAAATGAAATTTAAAAATAAAACTAGGAATAAAGACCAAGACTAGTTCATCTACTGACATTGTTATATGGAACTGTCATAATAAATCAATTTCTAACAATCACTGGTTTGTATACATATAGCACAACGTTTCAACAAGTGTTCTTGTGCATGTAAAGGATACTACTTGTCAAAACATATGTGTATAAACCAGTAATTGTTTTCTATATAAATTGTGTTTTTTCTATTGTGCTTAATCGCAAAGGATTAGAAAACTAAAAATCAATAGAGCTACTTTGAAACTAAAGATTTGAAAACTTTATAAAAAAATAATTTGTGCTTGTATCTTATATACTTACTTTTTACTTCTGAGATTTTAACACAAAAAATAAAACAAACATTATTTCTTTAGGTCATTTCAGGACTAACATATGGTTCAATTTTATTTTAATAACTCACTTGCATATAGCGTATGTTAACCATGGGTAGAAACCGGAGAAAACCCACGAGGTTGGACAGACGACCCTACTCCTCGTCGAAATTATGCCTGAACAGTGGTACTACCTATTCTTATTTCATATAAACAAATGAAATGGGGTTTAATGCTCAACAAATGCAGAGGAAGAATATAAAACAGTGGAAGAATATAAAACAGTGGAAAAATATAAAACAGTGGAAGAATATAAAACATCATTTAAAATCATGTGCTACAAGACAACGAACGATACACCCACCCTCCAGTATTTGAGTGGTTATAAATAGTTTCGAGACGACCGTACTATATACGACCAAATGATCATCTTTGAAGGAATGGCATATTAACTACATTTTATTGCCTAAATTATGAAGTTTATCTTTAGCACAACTTGACTCATTCCAACAATTTCAAAATTTCAAAATGCTGCCTTGTCGATTGTACAGGGATCTGAATTCTGAGTCAATGGAAATGCTGAATTTTTATTTCTCAGCTAATGAAAATGTCAAATTCTTAATTCTGAGTCAATGGAAATGTCAAATTCTTAATTCTGAGTCAATGGAAATGCAGAATTCTTAATTCGAAAGCAATGGAAATGCAGAATTCTTAATTCTAAAGCAATGGAAATGCTGAATTCTTAATTATCGAGCAATGGCAATACTGAATTCTTAATTCTCAACCAATGGAAATACTGAATTATCAGCAAACAGAAATGCTGAATTCTAAAATATTTGAGTGAGTAAAAGTCCATGGCCAATCTGATTAAAACACAGATCCTATTTTGTTTTGTTTTTTATAGTTCAAAATTTCGGTTTACTTGTCTTTACTACACTAGAATATAACCCGCATTCTGGATGGTGTGAGGCATTAGCCAATGAAACGGTGTTTTACTGCGAGTTTTTGGCATGTGGTGCGTGGAACTGTTGGTAACCCACAAGAAACATCAACGCTGATTGGTTAATCAATGTCTGACATCTTAGGGTCAAAAGCCGCTGGTATGACCTCTGCCTCGACATGTCAGATCTTCATGTAGTGTAAGCCATCGAAAGTATAAAAAAACGAAACAAAATAATGATCCGTATTTTAATCAGATTGAGTCCATGGTATGTACAACACTGATTACAGAACTTTGGAAGGATAGACCAGCATACATGGAGAGAGAAATGGGGTTTAAACACCCACTAGACACAAAGTAGAAATGTAAGTCAACAAACCTTTTGAAAGACTTTTCTCTCTTCTTGCTGCCCTCCTTTTAGCCTTGGCATGTCTGCCACCTCTACGACCTGACGCCCCATCAAAACTATCACCATCTACATCATCATCCTCATCATCATCTTCAAAATCTAGTTCATCTTCTTCGTCAACCTCATCTGCATCTAAAATATGCAGAATATCAGAATATTTTATTTCATTTAAAAATGGATTGGGGAACAGGCTAGGCCTATGTTGACCTTTCTCCAGAATAATTTCCATGTAGTAATTTTAAATGTAGAGGTGGGAAAGCGACGTTGACTCGACGTGCGGAGACTTGGGACTCAACTCAGACTCAAGTTCCTATGACTTGTTCCCACCTCTGATAAAATGAGAGATCAAAATGGGGTGTATCGTCTTACTTTTCGATATATGCCACGGTGTGGAATGAGAGGAATTTTGCTCAGATACAGACAATCCCACCTACTCTTCTTCAAATTCCAAATGTCAAAGAGTCTTTAACGTGCACGACAATGTGGTGGAGACTTTGAAATTTGTTACATTTAAACAACGAGACACTCTTCCGTGCCCTGTTTCTTTTATGTGCACGACAATGTGGTCTACATGGGACCTTTTTGTTACATTCAAACAACTAGACTCTTTTTCTTACCCGACAAATGGTAAACTATGCTTGCAAGTCGTGAGGAGCTTTTTGCATAGATGACACATTTTAGATAATTACAGCTGCAGCTGTCTTTCATTCTAAGGCCAGTTTTCTATGTTCACGTTTTTACCTGGAGAAAAAGTTGATCTCATGCCAATGTAAACAAGACCATTTCCGTGTTACACGGAAAACAGGCCTTAGCCTAGAATATCACTCACCAAAGTGAAGACCACAATAACAATAACCACAAGTGAACTGTCATTATGTAGAGTCCAGTCAGTGGGTCATTGCGGACAACTTTCTTTACGGCAGGGTTCCGTTCTATTCTATTATCTGATCCCGTCTTCATTAGCCCAGTTGGAGCAGAAAAGAAGGACTTTAAACCCCATTTCATTTCATTTTCAATGAATAACATATCAAAAAACCTGACGTATAAAATCCACTTACCAGGGTCACCCCCGAGTATTTTAACACATGCTAGATGTGAGAATCGTAAAGCCACATCACGTGGTGTTTCCCCAGCACTATTTTCTATAGTCATATCACTACCCATTTCAACCAACCACTGTAAAACACGTAGATGACCTTGACCAGCAGCTGAAATTTAACCAAAAAAATCAAAACAGGTAAGATTATACCATGAGAAATCAAAATGTATGTTATTGCGTCAACAAGTGGCATGGTTTTGATGCCATGCTTGTAGTGACAAGCAACATATTGAATTAAAGTGTACCATGTTAGTCACAAAATGACCTAGTTTGCTCCCTCTCTGTCTCTCTCTCAAATATGGTCATTCTCTTCTGTTCTATGCTAAGATCAAGGGGGGGGGGGGGTAGGTGGTCGAATGGTTGGATCATAGGGTCAACTGGCATGGTTTCAATTTCCCACTAGTACTTGACAAGAAGTAGGGTCACCTATCCAACCTTGTGGGTATTCTCCGGATCCTCCAGTTTCCTCCCACTGCTAAAGACCCCTACGCGCATACAAATTATTGAAATTAGATTAAAGCATGTTAGTCCCAAAATGACCTAGTTTGTGTTGAGTGTACATTGTACATTTGTCTTTCTCTATGCAAAGAAATGGGGACTATTTTGTAACCATTAGGGGTGTATATCATTCAAAAATCACAGTTTAACACCTTAGTTATATTACTCCTACTTTATGACTACTGATGGCCCCAGTTCACAAAGCATTCTCAGAATTAAAGGAGCTACATCGCTAATATTTGGGACCTAGAGTTGACACAAATGGGTTGCATATAATAATGTAATATGAATGTATATAAACAGAATTACATTCAATCGTGTCCGTTTTTACCCTAATTTCAAATCAGTTATGCTCAGGGAAATATGCGAGAAGTCTCACTCAGACGGCAATCTCCGGCGACTGGTTATTCCAATTTGGACCGATAGTATTTATTGCGCATGCTCTCCAGATAAGAATATGGAGTCACCGTTTGATATGACTGGTGGAAATTGTATAGCCTTGTTCTTCAAGTCTGTTGTTACAAATGGTGCTGAAACGCATTCTGGTACACGATTTGTGTACAAATGGTAAATATTGGATATTAGAAGCCCATCTTTTCCTTGGTAAGGTCTCAACATCAATGTTGATTTAAGACAAATAATTTGTGTTTTTTATGTCAAAGACTGTGACTACTTTAAACATGCATTATGCAAGAGCTAAATCTGCCTATAACAGGTCTTTCTTTGGGCCTGAAATGTTTTCTAAAGTATTAATTAGGCATTAATTAACTGATCCAGGCCTTAATCAACTCTCGATGGCATCAGATTTATCCGATATTAAATAGATTAGAATGGTTCAGCGATACTTTGATTTAATCAAATATGGAGGACCGAGACTTAGCTTCGATCAAACAGTACGGTGGTTGAAATTATTGCACACGTCTGTCAAACCTTCAAAGGCTAATATCTTCGTTTGCAATAGAGTAATTTGAATGAAATTTTCAAATTATTCATTTTACTTTATCTACTTTCGAACTATTATAGCAAGAATGGCTAGTTCTTTATCTAAATCTTACATAATGTATCTTTAAATTAAGAATTTACTCAACTTTTAATCACTGTTTATATTAGGAATAATATCTTTAAACTAAAAACACACAACTTTGCACATAGTTTCTATTTGATGTATTTGGTATATTAAAACAAGAAAAGTTTATAAAGGGCTATAATAAGGCCAGTTTGTGTTATGTATTTTAATTTGAATGTCATTTAGTAATTGGAACATAACCAAATAACACACTTTTTTATGGATAACAATTACTATGGTTTATTGCACTGAAACGTTTCAACAAAATTTCACAAGTCATTATCAAGCAAATAAACATATAGATGAAGTCGCTATTAAACATATACTTAGTTATTTGTTGCTAAGTATAAAAAAGCATTGTACAAGATTTAGATAAAGAGCAACATATACCTTTATGTGCTGGTGTTGAACCCTTCGTATCTTTTTCATTGATATTAACAACCCCGTTCTCCACCAGCATCTTTAACTGATCTAGATCACCGGCATACGCGGCTACATGAGCAGGGAACGCCGAATCTGAAACACAAAAATTTGAACCTTCAATTTCAAGTAGCTTTTAATATTCATTTTAATTATCAATGGACCTCTTTCTTTTTCCCGTTGGAACGACTAGGCATACTTTTCATGTCAGACAAGTGGAAATGGTGGGATCTAAACGTGGGACATTCTGTTTGCAAGGTCTGTGCAAAACATGATCATTTAATAAAAACAACTAACCTAGGTTGTAGTTTATATATAAGATGGGTGAAGAGTTTTGAAAGTTTTGTCTGAGTTGATTTAGGGTGTTATATACTCTTACGATATGTGACATCTTTGACTGGTTTATAGATGCTGTCGGCTCACATCAATGCAATTAAACTGTCTGACAATGGAGAAACCACGATGTAAACACGTGGATGAAAATTATAATCACTCTTATTGGATTGATGAATAGTCCGACAAAGGGGAAGCAATGACTTCTGTTTAAGATTAGATTGATGAATTATCCGACAAAGGATTAAGTCTGTCAATCATGGCAGATTAAGTAGTTAATCAAGGTAGGTGTATAGACGGTATAACACGATAAATACGTTGATCACATAATTACCTAATCAAACAAGCCTATTATCAACAATAATCAGGTTGAGTGATAGTTATAGGCCTACACTCAGTACACTATATTAATTTTGGAATTTTAAATATTATTCACCATGTCTTGATGTCCGATTGGGCATATTCCCTTTCGGACAATTTTGGGAGTTTGGATATACGGCGAAATCCCATCCCTGGTTTATTAGATCTTGGGGTGTGTGGGGGTGGGGGGTCGAATGGTTAGTGTGTGCATGCTGCATCAAGTTAGTCATCGAGTTAATGAAATAAAATTGAACCATATTGAGTCCCGAAATGACCTAGTTTCTCTCTCTCTCATAAGACCTTACTGACCTGTGTTTTAATTCCCAACACCCCTAGGTTGTATTTTAAAAAAAATCTTACTGTCTTCTACTTCTGGATGTTCTTCTTCCCATTCGATATTATTGATATAATCTAGAATATTCTGTTTATAAAACTGTTCAGCTAGATCTTTCGGTGTTTCACCGTTATCATTCCTTGCTCCTAGAGTATGGGTCTGGTTTCTCGTATATGTCACCAGATATTTGAGACAAGGTAGATGACCCTCCTGGGCGGCTAGATGGGCTGTAAAACATGAAATCAAGAATAAATAGAGAAAAGAGCTAGAGACAGTAATGGTGGTATAACATCCACTCAATACAGACTAGGTTATTTCAAGATTAACATATGGTTCAATTTTATATCAATAACGTAACAAGGAATATCATCACCTGTCCAACCTCATGGGTTTTCTTTGCTTCCTCCAGTTTCCTACCACTGCAGTACAAACCAAATATTGAAATAAAATTGAGCCATGTTTGTCAAAAATGGTTTAGTTTGTGCTAAGTGGATGTTAAACTCCATATCTGTTTGTTAAACATACATTATGCAAGAGCTAAATCTGCCAATTGCAGGTCTTTCTTTAGGCCTGAAATGTTATCTAAATTATTAATTAGATATTAATTAACTTATCCAGACCATAATCAACTCTCGATGGCATCACTAGCCTGTGATATTTACTGGATTAGAACCCGGTCTGCTGCTTCTGATTAAATCAAAAATTGGATAATCAAGACTATGTTTTTTATCACACCGACTTCAGTAATGATGATCGAGGCTAAGCCCAAAATTCAATCGCTAAATACATGGTTCAGGGTGGATCAATTTGACTGAAATTTTTCAGCAAATTCCCTTTACATTATCTAGTTTTTAACTATTATAGTGGGAACTACCAGCTCTTTATCTAATCTCCCATATGTATCTTTAACAGTAATAATCAGAATATCCGACTTTCTAAAGTACTTCAGTTTTCATACGGAAAAATAACATTACACAGCGTACTGTAATTTCACATCTACACTAACCTGGCGTGTTGCCGTTATTTTCTACTTCATCAGGATTAGCTCCCCATTTGATCAACGTCTGTAAACAACCAAGTCTACCATGATACGCTGCGTAATGTATCGGCATCCAGCCATTCCTATCCACAGCATTCACATCCTACAATGAAAGGAAATAAAAAATGAAATGGGGTTAACGTCCTACTTTTCTGTACCGATTGTGCTGATGAAGATTGTCACTTATATGCAATACAGTGTGCCATTAGGGACATTATATGCAATACAGTGTGCCATTAGGGACATTTTTCCAGGTCAGCTATAGCATATCGGGTTCAAAATGCCAAGGGATCGTTTATGTGCACATCAATGTGTACAAGGGACCTTAGTTGTTCGTCCGTTCCGTATCTCCTTGTCAGACCCGCCATCCTCCACCCCTGGGAATATCCCAAGGAACTTTCACCTAATTGATCCCTTTATCTATTTTCCTTTCAACCAGATCGTGATCAGTGTGTAGATGAAGGAGAGAAATGGGGTTTAACGTCCACTTGGTTAGGTCTGTCATTGAGTCAACTGGCATGGTTTCAATTCCCGGGTTGTACGTGACAAGGAGAAGGGTCACCTGTCTAACCTCGTGGGTTTTCCCAGGTCCTCCCACTGCTAAAGACCCATAAGCGCAAGCAAATTATTGAAATAAAATGAAATAAAATTAAATCATCAAGGGGTCAAGATTGATCTATTTGAGGACAAGATTGGTGTATCTAGTGGTCAAGATTGGGCTACCCAGTGTCAACATTGGTATGTCTGATCTGGTCTAACATATTTGAAAACAAAAAAAGTATACTCACAACTCCAGATCGAAGAATGGCATTTAAACTAAAGGAATGACCATGTGAGGCAGCCAGATGAGTTGGTGTACAACCACGGACATCTTTCTCCGCTAAACTAACTCCACTATTCGTTAATGCCTTTAAAATACACGAAACAATCAAATAATTTAAATACAAATAAAACAATCAAATAGAGCAGTCACACAAGACAATCAAACAGAACAGTCAAATAGAACAGTCAAATAGCACAGTCACATAAAACAATCAAAGAAAACAGTCAAATAAAACAGTCAAATAAAACAGTCAAATAAAACAGTCAAATAAATACAATAAAACAGTCAAATAATTACAAATAAAACAGTCAAATAGATCAGCCAAATAAAACAGTCAAACAGATGAGTCAAATAAAACTGTCAAATAAAAACAATCAAATAAAACAATCAAATGAAACATTCCCTCTTTTGTGGTCCTAAAGAGTTAAAGTTTAAATCAGAAAGTGTTAGTGTACCTACCTGTATACAACTATCCTGACCTCGTATGGCTGCTATATGAGCTGGTGTCCAACCTTTAGGTGTGTTTATATTAGGATCTGCTCCGTGCCACAACAACCAATGTACACACTGTATACATGAAAAGAAAGAAGAGGAAATTTCATAATTAATCAGATTTAAATCTAATGGTCTTTTTTCAATTCGTGTTAAGATTTCTTTCATTTTAGGGAGTTGCTTCTGCTCAGTGAGTATGGAGCTAGTTCGATTACCCAACTGCATCTCGGTGTTGGCAAAAAATTTCCTCAGGATTTTCTGGTGTGGTTACCCACCTTGTCAGCGGCGCAGGACAGAGGGCCTGGCATGAAACGGCATGTAGTTGTTGAATGTCACGCCAAACTAACATTTCTATATGAGTTGGCGTGTGCACGTAAACAAAATGTTTGTCAATTAAAATTTGACAAAAAATAGTCTGAAATGTCGCTGTCTGGGCAAAATTTAGCACAAGATATCTCCAGGGGAACTTTCTCCCCCAAAACCAAGAACGAACCGAGTCCAATTTCTGGGGACAGATTGTGTAATTACTCAGAAGATATTTTATTATCTAATAAAATCAAATTACCTCTAAAGCACCATTATTACACGCTGTGTGCAACGGTGTAAATTTATCAACATCCTCTACTTCGTTGATACTGCCACCATTTTTGGTCATATATTCTAGAGATAAAACATCACATTGTTTCACAGCTTCATGGATCGTGTGAGGTCTATTAGGTATTACTTTACCTGAAATAAGAGAGAAAACAGGTTAAAAATAAAATTGGGTTTACAGATAACCTGATATCTTTGAAACCACTGACCGCAGAAGTAGTCGAGATTTTGTCACTCTGGAAATCGTATGATAATTGCGGTACACAGACTTACCACATGTGTCAAATAGCCCTTGAATTGTCATACAAACAATATGTGGCAATTTAAAGCCCCAGCCCTTTATAAATGGATATAATTATTATGTAGTATTCATGTCCGCAGGATTAAGAGAGAGAGATGGGGTTTAACGGCCACACAACACAATCTAGGTCATTTCGGGACTAACATATGGTTCAATTTTAATTTAGGGGTCTTTAGCAGTGGGAGGATTGTCTAATTAATGGGTTTTGTTTGGGCATATAGTGTAATAGTTACTTTAGTAATGTAAATTGTAGAAGGCGTAAATTGTATCGGCTCTGCAGACTAGCCGATACAATCCTTCTACAATTTACGTACGTTACTAACACAAGTAACTAATAGTGTAATAACTTGTATTTGACAAAGTTTGTGACAGATGCCTATTATGTCCAGGTTTAAATTTACATGATAAGATGAATTGGGCTACTGATGTTAGTGATATCATTATTATTATAATTATTAAAATTAATGATATTCACGACACCAACACTGTCACGACTGTGTGAGTGTGACCAAAGTGAAAACAGTAAATTTCCCATTTAGATTCAGTTTAATAGGTATACTAAGGTTTAACTTTGTTTTTATAAATAAAAGTTGGTTCATATCTCAGTTATATCAATATTTTAAAACATTTAACAATACCTACCAGGCATTTTGATGATTTTTGACATTCATTCAACAAAAAATTGTTATTTTCGTTACTGTTTACATTGGGAGTCAATCACGCAGCAGACAAAAAATTCGACAAATTCCATTGGATAATTCTGGCATGTTTAATTTCGAAATATATTAAAAATTTTGTTGAAAGCTAAACTGATCTTTATTTGTAGATTGCTTCTATATTCATAAATGCAATAACATTAAAGAGATTAATTTTGTGCTTTCTACATAACTTTTTCTGCCGAACAGCAGGTGCGCTAAATGACCTTGACCATTGGTTTACTTCCGGTACCGGAGCACGTGTTTCAGAAAACGTAAACTTTAAAAGTTGAAAATTAGTTCTACTAAGGATAATCGTTTTGAACTATATCTTGTGTCAGTGACAAAATTGTAAAATGAATAATCTACCGAACCCATTTTCACGTCCACCTAATTTTTTTAATGGACAACAGGGGATAATGAATCCGACAAACCCTGGTTTTGGAAGTGGACAACCACAACAAATGAATTTTTATAACCATCCAATGAACATGAACGGTTTTAATAATAACAATGGGAGTATGCCAGGCAGGATGCCATTTCCAAATAATCAGTTTAATCCACAAAGTTTCAGGAATAATGGATTCCGTGGTAACCGCCCTGTCAATAATGTCTGGTCTTCCCAGTCACCGCAGCTTCTTCAGCCACAATTCCCACAACAACAGAATTGCCATCAGGCCCAGGGTAATTTTTCTAGGCATCTTAGTCCGGGCCAGTTTGATCCATCTAGGAATCAGTTTGAGAATAAAAGATTCAATAAAAATAGAGGCCAGTTTGATCCGTATCAAAATAGACCATTCAACACTCAGAATAAAGGACCGCAACAAAATTACCAGAACAAGAAAAATAAGGTACGGTAATTAAAGGAGCTAAATCACTAATATTTGGAACTAGAAATTGACACACAGGGGTGGTTATGTGTATAAGAGAGTAATATGAATGTATATAAACAGATTTACATTCAATTATTTCAATTTTTGCTTTAATTTCAAATCAGTTTTGTTTGTCGAAATACAACAGAAGTCTTAATCGAATAGCTTCTTGTTATTCTAGTCTACACCAATAATATTTATTGCGCATGCTCTCCAGATAAGAATATGTCGTCACTGTTTGACATGACTCGTGGAATATGTCTAGCCTCGTTCTTCGAGTCCCTTGTTACAAATGGCGCTAAAATGCATTATGGTACACGATTCATGTACCACTAGTAAAATGTTAATTTTGTCTTAAATATTAGATATCAGAAGCCCATCTTTTCACGGTAAGATCACAAGATCAGTGTTGATTTAAATTGACAAATAATTCGTGTTTTCAATGTCAAAGACTTTGGATGATAATGAGTTAGAGACTTAGCTACTTTAAATTGAATGGGTAGCACGTTTTACCCAAATACACCATTATTTCAACAATTAAGTCATATCAAAAATAATTTATATTGATAATTTACCATTCTTTATGCTAAATTGTCATTTTTAATTAAAAGTCGTGCATTTTTGTTTCAAAAATAACCCTCAAATTCAAAATACGTGTATGATTTCCAAGCAAGTGATTTCTTGCAATACAAGAGTTATGACCCATGTTTTCAACTTCAAAACTTGCTTAGAAATCGCAGTTTGAGGGTCATATTTAACACAGAATCAATACCATTTTAATTTGCTATTCTTTGCTATTTTTCCGACATACGATTCATGTCAAATTGCTATTCATTGGAATTCCGATCCATGTCAATCCTCCATGTACTGTACTGGTATTTCGAATTTTGATTATTTATGGGTTTTTTTCTTTTTTTCCTATAGAAAAATAAAGTACAGGTGGATAAGAGGGATTTGGCAGAGAATAATATGTTTTATTGTGATATATGTGATCGTGGATTTAAACAGGAGGACGTCTATACAAAACATGTTGGGGAACATGAACAGGTAAATTAAATGAGGTTTAATGTCTTACTGTTCTGCACCGACTGGGGGGTGGGATAGCCGAATGGTTAGCGCGTACGCACTGTATCATGGAGTCAACTGGCGGGGTTTTAATTTCTCGGTTATACATGTAAGTGACAAGGAGTAGAGTCGCCTGTCCAACCTCGTGGGCATTCACCGGGTCCTCCCACTGCTAAAGAGTCCTACCCGCAAGCGAATTATTGAAATAAAGTTGAACCTTATGTTAGTCCCAAAATGGCCTAGTTTGTTACGAGTGGACGATAAACCCCATTTCTCTATCTCTCTCTCTCTCTCTGCGCAACTGGGCAGTGTGCTACTTGTATGAGAAAAATTCTGCCAGGACCTCGGTGCTACAGCCTACATGCCAACACCTATCCAGCCAGCACTAGCCTTGGCACCTAGTTTTACACCAGCACCAAATGCCGTGGCACCAACGGTACCAATGCCAATACACACACCAGAGCCCAAAACAGCACCAGAGCCCACAACAGCACCCACGCCAATCCAAGCACCAGTACCAACACCCACAACAGCACCAGAACTCATAACAGCACCCTCAGCACCCACGCTAATCCCCCCTATGCAAATTCCAACACCATTAGCGTTGCCGAACCCAGCACCAACATCAGCACCCACGAATTTTGCAGCACCTATTGCACCAGTAGCCATAACAGCACCCCAACCCATGGTACCGGCAGCTCTTGAACCAGAGTTCGACTTTTCACTACTGACAGTCTTGCCCGATTTAGACGATTTGGAGCAAAATAACGGTAATAATAATAATAGATGTGGATGTAGCTCCGCCATTCAGCAATCTCTGGACACAATAATGCTAAGATTAAAAACAATTGAAGAAAATCAAGATAAAATTATGAAAAAGTTGGATAAGAGAACAACACAAATCGGGCATGAGCCACTAGAAATTCACCAGCCATCAACTTCTGCCTGTACAGACGTCACAGTTTTTGACGATATCCAAGCTGAATATAGAATTTCTATTGCAGAATTAAAAAAAATAAAAAAAACATTCATTGAATATTGGTAATTTTGCCGTAAAAGTAACGGCTAGACTGTTTCCCGAATTGTGCACGGAAGAGAATAAAAGGCATTACTTTTCATCTGTTTTGCAAATTGGGGATCTGTCATAAGATTGGGCTTGTGTTATGATACAGAAGTCAGTTTTAAAGCCGAAAACGAAATAAAACTAAAATTAGTAAACAGTTTTTCAGCTCCTTCATCCACCCATAAATGTATATATTGAATGCTGTTAAATACAGGTTGCCGAATTATCTTTTCAACTGACATACAAGAGAATATATATTCCCAGCCATTTATGCTGCATGTACTTCTACAAAAATCCTTAAATTATTGTTCATAATTAAAGCTGAAGGGGCGAATTGCTACCTCCTGAATATATTTTCGGACACTGCTATCAGAATTCGCAAACATGGTTTCATTGTCTGCTTGTCGGATTAAGCGTTGAAATCCACAATAGCTACGTGTATGTACTTTGTGATATGTTTCACTATACATGTAGTATATGTCACCCATTTTCCGATAGTGCTATCAGAATGGTTTCATTGTCTGCGTGTAAAATTAACCGTTTTCACCCACAATACATGTAGCTACATGTACATACAGTACATTTGCTTTGTGATATGATTCACGATTCTAATACTGATGAAAATCAGGAATAAAGGATAGATTTAGGATATACATTTAACGGTAGGTTTTAGTTACTTTTCATAATCAATTTGCGAAGAAAGTATACAGAAAGCCATGGGGCACAACAGGCGAACGGTTAACCTGCGTTATTGTTCCAATACCACAGCAACAATATGGACAACATTCATCTATACATTGCGGACCATTCTCGGCCGACTATATTTAATTTTCGCGGACTATAATCCGCCGGCTATTTTATATTTTCGCGGACTATAATCCGCCGACCTTTTTTATATTTTCACAGACTATAATCCGCCGACTTTTTTATATTTCCGCTGCGTTTTTTCCGCCCAGAATGCCTACATTTCCGCGGAGTGCAAATGAGAAAACTCTGCGATTCTTTCGCGGAAAAAACACCGACCAAGGACTAATTTGATACTTCCGCTTGATGTGTACTGTACATGTACTCCTATTTCGAATTCCAACTGTCAAATGTTCTTTTACGTGTACGCCAACGTCTACATGGGACCTCTGTTTTTCGTTATATTCAAATGATTAGACACTCTCCCATCCATCCCACCCCACCGACCGGCTGAACCACACGGGAAAAATCCACATCAACACAGGGGTCGAACGTGGGACCTCCAGGCTAGTGAGCCAATGTGTTACACACTGAGTCACCGTGTCTCCAACATGAACAGGTAAACTATTGTGATTCTCTTTCTACAAGACACAGTCGCCCAATCATCGATTTTACATGTATGTTATTGTTGCCTTGGGTTATATGGAAGAGGGCCAAAATGCTTAGAACTAATATAAATTTGCCAACTTGTTCGAGTCCTGATGTGTAATATGTAGTTATCTCCCTTGCAGTGTAAAGTTGATGGCTGTCCATATGTTGCTGCTCCTAAATTAGTTCGTCTTCACTTTGATTTGGTAAGTCGAATATTTGTTTGTATATTTTATTAATGTTTGAAATGTCTTTTTTTAAGTTTAAAATATTTTTTTGTTTAAAATAATTGGATAATATAAGAGATAAGAGTGGCGAAGAAGTCCTGGTTATCCCGGGAGTCAGTGACTAGTTTAATTTATATTGAACTCTTCAAACTGTTTGGACACGTGTGGCAGGGATTTTTATTTTTGCAATTCCAAAATCCTTGTCAGGTTTCCATGGTTAATAATTGGTGGGGTTACCGGGGTGGGCCTCTTGGTGGAGCATGTGAATTTGTTACTGTGATCGGTAGCTCTCTTACCAGGGTTGTACAGAGGTTTGACAACTGATCGTTTAGATTGAAATACTAGTGTCCATAATTTTGCTAACTAGGATGCCTAAATATATTAAACCTATCGGGCACCATGTTGAATTACACAGTATTTAACGTTTACTTTATAGAATTAATGTCAAATCTAAACTTGAGCACCCCAACCATTTTTATTTTTGTTTAAAATAATTGGCTGAACAAGAATCTAGTAATAACACTGATGATTTGATTAAGTAAGGATTCAACGGTATGTTGGTCTAAAAATATGTAAAGTGTTCTGTTAATACCATTTCGTTAATCTAGAAGTCTAGGTATGTCACGAAGCACCGTGGCTAAGTGAGTAAGACACTGGCTTAATAGTCTGTAGGTTGTAGGTTTGCTCCCGGTGTTGGCTGAGAAAGTTTGTGATCTCATCGACATGGGTTCCCCCCTTGTCAGTGGTGTAGGATAAAGGTCCTGACAAAGACAGTTGTCTAGTCGTTTGGATTGGACAAAAAAAGGAGGTGACGTGTACACATTGGCGTGCACGTAAAGGATCCCTTGGGAGTTGGAAATCGATATAAGAGTAGGCTGTAGTGCCGCTGCCCTGGCAATATTACCCTCATAGCACACTGCATGGCATATGTCCAGTCGGAGCAGAACAATAAGACGTTAAACCCCATTTCATGGGCATGTCACTTTTTACCCTAAAATGTCAATGATTCTTGTGGGCGCCAACATGTACAACTGGACCTCTGGATTTAATCCCACCCAAATGACTAGGTGTTGACATTTTGCCCAGACAGCAGCACTACAGCATACTCTTATAATGAATTTCGCTTGTTATACATGTATGTTGTGTTTTATATAGCAACACAGAACTGGTTTTGCCAAAAAAATATGGTGTACAGAATCAAAAGAAGAATTGGATGCCTGGATTAATGAAAGAAAAAGGTAAGATTTATTTGGAAACAAAATGAAATTGGGTTTAACATCCTACTTTTCTGCACTTGGTCTTATGAAAACAGGACATACAGTGTACTACATTTGGCTCGGACATCGGCACTATAGGCTACTCTTATTTCGATATCCAACCGTCAAGAGTTCTTTTACATGCACACCAATGAGTACACAGGACCAAGGTTTTCATCACATCCGAACCACTCTACACTGTTCCTTGTCAAACCCTCTGTCCTGCATCACTGACAAGGTGAAACCCTGCTGGAAAATTGTGAGAAAAGAATTGGTGGGATTGTTTATTGATTCATAAGGATGATCAAACTGATCAGCAGTAAAAATACATGCTTGTCCACTAATATCACTGAACTCAGATTAAAAAAACTACAGATTTGTTATTGTTTGGGGTAAGGCAGTTTTTCTGTAATTTTCATGGCTGATTTGTTTCGTCTAATAAGTAAAATAATATGTACCTGATCAGACATAATAATTGTGTAGCAATAATATTTTCAGTAAGCTGATAATAGTAATAGTGAAAAAACTTCAATCAGTCAGGAGGTAATTGGTAGTTGACTAGCTAACCGGATGGGGACACTTTTCTTGACACTGCATTACTGGTTATGGGCGTGGCCTGCCTGTGTTTTTGTTTCCCCGAAGCGATCGCCATGTTTGTTCTACAAATTGAAAACAAGTATGGTGGTTGTTTAGGGCGTTAACGTTGTTTTATTTAATTATTTCTGTAGTTTTATAATTAGAGTTTAGCTTTAATTAGCTAACAATATTACGGTAACCAGGAGGTCCAAGGTTCATTACCATTGTTGCTTCGAGAAAGTCCCACAGAATTTGGCAGTGTTGTTTCCCTTTGTCTGTGGATGCAGGACAGAGGACCTGACATATTTTAACCTTTATTCTGGCAAGAAAATAACTTTTTATTTTGTGAATTTCCAGGAAATATCCCACAGCCTCGAATATACTGAAAAAGAAAATGATTTTAGAAGAAAAACAATCCCGAGGAGAATTGTTAGAAACTAAACAGTTTGGGTACGTATTTCTAGTGGCCCAGAAAAATAGGAGTACATTATTTAAAGTGGAATAATTCGAAAATTATTCTACCTATTTCATTAAAATTTCACATGTGATACAATATGGATGTTTGACAAACCCGACTGCAAGTTAATCATATTCCTGAAGCAATGGCCTGAGAAATCCCTCTAGCCATTGCTGTATTGAGACTGAAAACTTGAGTCTTTGATAGAGCGCGTGCATTCTCATTGTCCAATCAAATCTCTCCCGAGTAAAATATAGGGAATTTTCATAACTTAACCAGGGTGACCTCTGTAAAAAAAATTGTAATGTTTGTTAGTGCTGATTTGAAGAGAAATTTTACCCTTGGATGCATCAGGAACAAACATCGATACTCGCATAGGTAAATTTGGCCGTCGGTGAAACCCGCTATTGGAACAAAAATTCTTTGACTCAAAATCTCTGATATAGATTCTATAAACGTGAACCAATTATTACTGACTACCTTTAAATATTCAATAATATTTATCCAATTTTTGTGAAGAAAATCCATGAATTATTTATTTTATCAAAAAAGTACAATATTCAGTTTGTTAAAACAGAATACGTAACATGACAGCCCTTCTCTTTGATCTGCTGTGTGGTGCAAGAGATGATAAAAAGATTCCATGTGCGCGACGAGTACCAAATGTTCACATTGAACCATTTTTGGACTGATACTGTTATTCCTTATAGTGATTCAACTGTCACAAGATTGTCAGAGATTCCTCAATCCCCCAAATGGTATTCAGAGACTTTTAAAGTAGCATTATTGCAGGTCTTTTTTACTGGCTTCAAATGTTATATAAATTATTATTTAGACATTTAGAAATTTATTCATATGACAAGACCATAATTAACTATTAGGAATTATAATGGATTGAAACATGATTGCCATTTAGCAATGGATAACCAAGACTTTGTTTATTATCGTAGCAATGAAAATCGAGACATTATTCTCACAATATTCATTACTCCGCTGAGAATAATGTAATTTGACTAAAATTTGCAGTATATTCATTTTACAGAATCTAATTTTGATCTATTAAAGCCTTAACTTCCAGCTTTTTATCTAAATCTTGCATAATTGAAATTAAATATTTTTAACAGAAAAATGCGGGATAGAAAAAAGAACAGGGGGAGAAACAGAGATAACAATTTTAAAAGAAAAGCAGAAGATGGAGGAGAAAAAGAAACAGATGACAAAAAGATAAAAACTAGTCCAAAGGTAACATTTATTCTGTTGTTAATAATGTATAATATTACACACCTCTAGGTTATATCAGGGGTTGGGAGGTGGGGGTGGGGAATGGATGGCTAAATGTATCATAAAGTCTGTCATTGAGTCAACTGATGTGGTTTCGATTACCGGGTTGTAGGGCTGGCGGAAATAATCGATAATCGTCGGTAAGTGTTTTGAAAATCGATTATAAATACAGTTTTAAAATATCGATTATCACGCAATTATAGGTATTTCACTTGCAAGAAGAAGTCAATAAAAATAATCCTTATCACTGTATTCTTTGCAACGCGTGCTTGGGCTAGAACTGTAATTAAACAGAATAGTCATAATAAAACACACAAGTTTGTTGGGGGGTTTTCACGCGAGACGTAGCCGGTGAGAAATGTTGGCCGCTTATGTCATGATGAGAGCCAATGGTTTCACGTAACATCCAGTTGTGCCCCTTATTTTAACTCTTCAGTTCTTTCGTCTTCTCTGTTTCTAAGTCAAACACATACTTTCCCTTCATAAAATTTATTATTTTATTAAGAAATTTGCGAGGAAATGTCTGAAGGGAGATTTTTAATTTCCCTAGTGCGAAGAAATCGCTGCAAGAAATAAACTGTTACGGCGAACTGAAGAATTCGTTTGATGTGATCAAAGGGAAATAACTACATTTTACTCAGTATTATTTAGGTCATACGCGACAAAGATATGGCGAGCCCGAGCGGTGGCGGGTTCTGTCTTCCAAACGAAGTGGATTGATCGAGTTTCTTTCTACACCTTGACTTTGCTATGGAATGCTATTATTTTATTGTCAAATGTCAAATAAATGAAAAAAAAAAATCTACATGTATATAGAATGATATCACAGCATAAACTCGCATATAATTTGTGTACAAATTATGATTCTTTTCAAACCAATTGTAAGTCAAAATAATTTGCCGATGTTATCGATTATCGATCGGTGGATGGTCCGCGATAATCGATACTTGAAACAGGATCGATTGCCAGCCCTACCGGGTTGTACTGAATATTGAGTAGAATCGCCTGTCCAACCTCATGGGTTCCTCCCGCTGCTAAAGACCACAACGCGCAAGCGAATTATTGAAATAAAATTGAACCATATGTTAGTCCCGAAATGACCTAGTTTGTGTCGAGTGGCTATAAAACCCCATTCCTCAGACTTGAAACCTCATTTCATTTCATTTATTAGAACTTTCCTTCCAAATATGGAGATGACAATTCTCCCATTCATTACCTACAAAAAAACAAATATGAGAAAACCTTTGTGGAATGCTCATACTTAGCTGCTGTTGAAGTATGTTTTGTCTCCTGGCAACCTATTTTTTTTCTTGTTATAGAAAGATATTAAAGACACTGATCCACTGGGAATGTTAATACAATGTAAATCATCAGATACAAGTGATCCAGGTGAGTACTGCACACAGAGAACTATATACTTTGAAAATAGATTCCTGCCCAGAATGGTTGCCATATTCAAACATTAGTTTACTATTTGGTTATGTCTAGTAGAAGTATATTGAAAATTTCAGTCAAATTACTTTATTTTGAGTGACATTAGAACTGTTTGGAGAATAGCACAGTTTCAATTTCATTGCTACCATTGTTACGATAATAAACAAAGTCTTGATTGTCCATTTTTAAATTAAATTATTAATGATGCATCATTATAATGTAAGAGATAAATCTCACTTTAAATGTTCTATAAATGATTAGACATTTATTCACATGACAAGCCTATAGTTAACACGGATGGCTAGGACATTACGTAGATTAGAGCACCCATAGAAATTAATAAGAAAAACGTGCAGGATCCAAGGGTCTAAAAGATTTTATCCGAGTTGAGCGAAGTTACAGTAGAATCTGTATTAAGCAGCCACCCAAGGGAATTTTCACAACTGGCCGCTTAACAGGAGTGGCCTCTTAATAAAATCTCGTTGCTTTTTGTGCTGACATAAATTAAATATTACGCTTGGATGCATTGGAAGCGGTAAATATGTCTGTCGCTGAATCTTGCGCCGAACGAAAATTCTTTACTCAAATCTCGGACATAACTTCTGTAAACTTGTCATTTTGTACCAACCTTCGATACTACTGTGATGCATTCGATAATATTTATCCATTTTTGTGAAGAAAATCGATGAATTCATTTTATTTTATCAGAAAAGCACATGAACAAAAAAACATCGCTAATTTTATCACCTATTTACAGGGGGTGTAACTCTGTATGTAATATTATAGGAGGCGCTAAGAGAGATACTAGATGATCGTGACAAAACCCGGTACTTTTATTTTATTCAATCAGTATCAAATAATGTGTCGTTGCGCGTGAAAACAATGATCAGGTTAGTCGTTTAATAAAACAAAAGATTAATTAACAGATAATCCCGGGTTGATTGTTATTTTTACATTTCTTTTTACCTGATCAGTGGGGGTCCAGTTAATTAACTACTACTCACGGTGTTACAAAGAACGACAAGATGGTATCATTCAACAATGGCCGTTGAATGGGCGATGTTTTGTTGAATTTATTAGTAAAATAGTGACCGCTGGCCGCGTTAGAGGAGTGACCGTTGAATAAAGAGATGAAACAACAGAATTTCTACGGGGGGAATTTATCGTGACCGCTTACAAGGAGATGTCGCTGAATAGGAGTGGCTGCTCATACAGATTCTACTGTATATGAATCCGACTTACGCAAGGTTTACTGTATTTCTATTTTTATTAACAGCCTGTTGTGTTTTAGACATTCTATAAATACAGGTATGTATGAAATACTGTGTGTATATTTTTTAGAAGGTGAAGATTCGATGGTATGTGAACCAACTAATGCACTGGCAGCCATTTTAACATGTTATGCTGATTCAGATGACTGTAAAACTGATACAGGTATTGATGATGTTTATTGCTTTTAATTGATGAGTTCATCAGGATTCCCCGGTGTGGTTTTCCCTCGTCAGTGGTACAGGACAAGAGTGCCAGACAAGGACAGCTGTCTAGTTGTTTGGATGGTACGCAAAACTGTGGTCCCGAGTACACATAAAAGGTCCCTTGGCAGTTGGGATTCGATATATGAGTAGGCCGTAGTGCACTTCATGGCATATGCCCATTTTCATTAGCCCAGTCAGTGCAGAGCAGTATGACGTTAAACCTCATTTCATTTCATTTTATGAATTGGGGGTTGGGTGGTCGAATGGTATAATGCGTGTGCATTAGATGAGTGCGTTTTAGAACAAAAGGACTGTCATTGAGTCAAGTTGCATGGTTTCGATTCCTGTGTAGGATCAGCTGTCAGAACTTATGGGTTTTCCCACAGGGTCCTCCAGTTTCCCATCCCACAGCTAAAAACCTCTGCACACTATCGAAATTAATGAAATAAAATTGAACCATAAGTTAGTCCCGAGTTTATGGCAGAACAGAATAGTGTTTATCAACAGTTTACCTGATTGTAGATTTTTTTTGCATTTTGGCCTGACAAGGACAGCTGTCTAGTCCTTCGGATGAGACAAAAAACCGAGGTCCCGTGTATATATTGGAATGCACGTAAAAGATCCCCTGGCAATTGGAATTCGATATAAGAGTAGGCGATAGTGCCGCTATTCGGGCAAAATTTCTCTCATAGCACAGTGTATGGCGTATGCCCGTCTTCATTAGCCCATTAAGGAGCAGAACAGTAGGACGTTAAACCCCATTTCATTTCATTTTTATACGTCCACATTCATAATGTGAACGTATTATGCCGTCGCCCCTGTCTGTGTGTGTGTGTGTGTGTGTGTGTGTGTGTATGTATGTATGTGTGTGTGTCTGTGGTTCGCCTACAGGGCGCAATTCTTCATGGATTTTCTTCAAACTTGGTATACTTATTCCTTATACCCCAAGGAAGATCCCTATTGTTTTTGGTGCATGCCCGACCCCCCGGGGCAGAGCCACGCCCATTTCTAGTATTTGTTTGTTTGTCGTCTACAGGCCACATTTCTTAACTAATAATCTTGAAACTTTGCATACACATTCTTTGTACCCTAAGGAACATCCCTATCGTTTGGGGTGCATGCCCAACCCCCAGGGGCAGAGCCACGCCCATTTTCTTTTCGTGTGTCTTTGTGTCGCCTACAGGGCGCAATTCTTACTGGATTTTCTTCAAACTTGGTATACTTATTCCTTATACCCCAAGGAAGATCCCTATTGTTTTTGGTGCATGCCCGACCCCCAGGGGCAGAGCCACGCCCATTTCTAGTATTTGTTTGTTTGTCGTCTACAGGCCACATTTCTTAACTTATAATCTTGCATACACATTCTTTGTACCCTAAGGAACATCCCTATTGTTTGTGGTGTATGCCCAACCCCCAGGGACAGAACCACACCCATTTTCTTTTTGTGTGTCTGTGTGTCGCCTACAGGCCACAATTCTTAAGTTATCATCTTCAAACTTTACATACTTATGCCCAAAGGCCGACCTCTATTATTTTTGGTACATGCCCGACCCCCTGGGACAGAGCCACCCCCAATGTTTGTGTGCCTTTTGTGTCGCCTACTGGCCGCAATTCTTAACAGATCATTTTGAAACCTTGCATACCTATTCCTTATACCCTAAGGATGCCCCCTGTTGTTTTTTGGTGATTGCCCAACCCCCAGGGGGAGAGCCACGCCCATTTTTTCTTTGTGTCTCTGTGAGTTGCCTACAGACCACGATTCTTAATGGATTGTCTTTGAACTTGGGATATGTATTCCTTATAGCCCAAGGACAACAACTGCATGTCACAACCCCCAGGGGCAGAGCCACGCCCAATTTTTGTGTTTATCGTTTACAGGCCGGAATTCTGAATGGATCAACTTGGTACTTGGCATATGCCTTATAGCCTAAGGGTATCAACTATTGATTTTGGTGAATGCCCCGATCCCCAGGGGCAGAGCCACGCCCAATTTTTGCCTTTAGCGCTAGAAGGCCACAATTCTGAATAGATTATCTTGGAACTTGGTATACTTATTCCTTATACCTTAAGGACGGCACTATTGATGTTTTCATTTCAATAACAGGGTGGTACCTATTTATATTGTTCCAAAGCCAACCCTGCAATTCTGAATGGATCATCTTGGAACATTGCATATTTATTCCTTATACCGTAAAGACAGCAACTATTTATTTTGATGCTTGCCCCGACCTCCTGGGGCAGTGTCACACCCACTTTTTTGTTAGTATTTTGTCTGTAAATTTGGCAAAACAAACCCAACGCCTAGCCTTCTTTGCCTCTGATCATATTACAGCCATTTCATATTTCATTCTCTTCATTTTAAAAAGTACCATATCAATCAAAGCTGGAATGTGGACGTATATTGCAGCGATAGCGATGCTCTCGTTGCATTTTGATATAGTTATATAGTCATGCAATTGAGACTAACATATGGTCATGTATTAGAGGCTGACATAGTCATGTATTTGAGACTAACATACAGTATGCTATGAGGGAAATTTTGCCTGGACAGCGAAGCCACAGTCTACTCTTATATCGAATTCCAACTGCCAAGGGATCTTTAACGTGTATGCCAATATTGACCTTGTTTTTTTGTCCCAACGAAACGACTAGACAGCTGTCCTTGTCAGGCCCTCCATCCTGCACCACTGAAGATCTCGATAAACTTTCTCGGCAAACACTGGGAGGGAACCCATGATCTCAAGGTTATCGAGCCATCGTCTTACTTACTTAGCCACTGTGGCTCCCTTTACATGCAAACCAACAAGTGAGGTGTGTACATGAAAGAACCCCTAGCAGAATCACACAGAAAAAGAACATTTGGAAATACCTTGTTAAATAAAGATGAACTATTATTATATATTCTTTATTAAACATGCATTATGCAAGAGCTAAATCTGCCTATTGCAGGTCTTTCTTTAGGCCTGAAATGTTTTCTAAAGTATTAATTAGACATTAATTAACTGATCCAGGCCTTAATCCACTCTCAATGGCATCAGATTTCTCCGATATTAAATAGATTAGAATGGTTCAGCGATACTTTGATTTAATCAAATATGGAGGACCGAGACTTAGCTTCGATCAACCAGTACCGTGGTTGAAATTATTGCACACGTCTGTCAAACCTTCAAAGGCTAATATCTTCGCTTGCAATAGAGTAATTTGAATGAAATTTTCAAATTATTCATTTTACATCATCTACTTTCGAACTATTATAGCAAGAATGGCTAGTTCTTTATCTAAATCTTACATAATGTATCTTTAAGCTATAAGACGTAGGTCTGCCTTTCATGGTTACCTACATAAAAGTGATAATCTACATCAAAACAAGGACCTAGGTGCCCTCTCACTACCACATACGTTATACAAGTCTAATGAATGTTCATGTAACCATAGAAATAACAAAAATACCATAGTATCAAGACATTAAACACCATTCCATTTCATTTCCTATTATTTGACATTCCAGTTCCCGAGATTAATAAAACTTTATTCCTAGCCCTAAAATGTACACATTTAAATTTCCTCTTATGTGACATTCCAGTTCCAAGCCCTAAAATGTACACATTTAAATTTTTTTGATTTAATGCTGTTTCTATTTTATTCCAGAAAAAGACAATATTACAAAAGTTGCAGACACCAAGAAAACTGAAATGGAAGCTGAGAATATTGAAATTAATGATGATAAATATCATAGGAAGAATAAAGATGTAGAAACAAACGATAATAACAATAACAAAGCAAAAGTAGTGAAAAATAAACAAAATATAAAACAAAATGATGGACATTTTGCGAAGGATAACCCCTACAACAAACCATCTTTATTAGAAATGGTCAGTATAATCTTTATTTGTTTCTATTTCGGGAAATGGATTAACATGTGCACTTTAGATCATAAGGTTTTCCATTGAGTCAAGTTTCATGGTTTCTATTCCCTGCATGTACTTGACAAGGAATAGGTTTTCCAGTCCAACCTTGTAGGTTCCTCCCACTACTATAAACCCCTACGCGCAATTGAATTACTGAAATAAAATTGAACCATATAGGGGTGTCTTGTCATTGAGTCAAGTGGTTTCGATTCCCAGCTTGTATGTGACAAAAAGTAGGGTCGCCTGTCATGGGTTTTCTTCAGGTCATCCTGTTTCCTCCCACAGTTAAAGACCTCTACCTACAATTGAATTACTGAAGTAAAATGAAACCATGCTTGTTTTGAGTGGAGTTAAACTCTCTCTCTCGCTCTCTCTCTCTCTCAGTTGGGCTCAGTATCTACAAAGACTGGAAATTCAATAGATCTATTGCTTGTACAGCCACCATCTTTATTGGCTGTGAAACTAATTGATGGACCTGTTTTTGATCTGATTGATTCCAAGCTGAGAGATTATCTAGAGTTGGTAGATAATTACATGTTAAATAATCAAATCATGCATCATTACTATAATTACCATGTTTTTAGTAATCAAGCATATTCTTTTTATCTTTACAGTTATTAGCCAAAGAAATTCGACACGAGAGAAATGTTATTCTACAATGTGTACATTATATAGTCACAAAGAATTTCTTCAGTAAAGAAGATAATAAAATACAGAATTCGGATACACCATAAACAATATATACTGATCATAAACAAATGATTTTGTATTTAAACAAAAATTAAAAATATTGAAAAAAGTTTACTTCTCTTCATTTAAATTTGTGGTTATTTTATGTGATCAGTAACATGAAGACTGAGCTAATGAAGACAGGCAATTTGGGGGAAATTTTGCTCGGACAGTGGCCCTCTGTCATTGCATCACTGACAAGGTGAAAATACTTATTTTACTGGGGACCCATACTCTGGACCCTATACTTATTGTACACATGGGCCTTTACAGTACATTTGAAGACAAATTATTTTCAGATATCCGTGGTAAATCCAGATTTGCCTGTAGGTATTATCATGCCACATTAAACCACACCAATACTTTACGGACAGGGGAGTTGGATGGCCGAATGGTTAGCATGTGCTCGCTGTATCATAAGGTTTCGATTCCCTGGTTGTACGTGACAAGGAGTAGGGTCGTCTGTCTAACCAAGTGGATTTTCACTGGGTCCTCCGGCTTCCTCCCACTGCTAAAGACCCCTATGTGCAAACGATTTATTGAAATAAAATTGTTAGTCCCGAAATGACCTAGTTTGTGTTGAGTGGACGTTAAACCCCATTTCTCTCTCTCTCTCACTTTACCGACATTCCAGACAAAATCGACCATTAAATCATTTTGATGCGTGATATTATGATTAAAGCAAATTTATTGAAACCTCCACATAAAATTACAGATTATATTTTCAAGGATATATAAAATAGTAGGCTAAAAAAAAAAAATGTTAATGCTAGTCTTCAGTATGTGTCAGTTGTCGTACACGAGGCAGAGGCAGAAAACGCTAATTCTTTTCCAAACACCTGATACCACCATTGAACACAAAATGTCTTTAGGTCTTTCAACATCCAATTTTACTGTCAGCAGAAGGTTTAAGATCAATAAAACTGTACTAAAACACCATATCAGTCATAATTCAAACGCGGATAACACAGAACAACATTCTAAATATGTATCTACCCATATTGTTGATTAATATCTAGTTTCTTGTTTTTTCGTCTATCTCTTTAATATGATAAATAAACAGTAGGCATAATCTATTGAGCTGCCACGTTATCTTCTTTTCAGTAAAATAAAGTCTTTAAGAGAGATTTCAAACATCCACCACGAATCATTAGTCCTGGGAAGATGGCTTTCAGCGAACTCGTTAATTAAGACAGATTTGAAACATCCTACACGAGTCTTGGGAAGATAGCTTTCAGCCAATCTGATTAAAACACAGATCCTATTTCGTTTCGTTTTTTATAGTTTAAAATTTCGTTTTACTTGTCTTTACTACACTAGGATCTGGAAGAGTTGTTATATAACCCTCATTCTAGTTGATGTGAGGGAGATTAGCCAATGAAACGGTCTGTTACAGCAAATTCTTGGTGCAAGGAATTGTGGGTATCCCTCTAGAAAAAATCAACTCAACACTGATTGGTTAATCAAATGTCGTATGACCCCTGCGCAACCTTCCACTACAACCGGCCAGATCTTCATTTTATGGAAGTCAACGAAAGTATAAAAAAAAGAAACCAAATATAGATCTGGATTTTAATCAGACTGGCTTTGAGCAAACTTGTTAAAGATGCATTATGTTAGAGCTAAATATTCCTATTGCAGATCTTTGGTTTGGCCCCAAATATTATATAAATCATTTATTCACATGCCAAGCCCATAACCAACACTCTAGACCATCGTGTGGTTATGATTTTCAACGGATTTAAACACGATCACTAGTTAATAACTTAATTTAAAAATGGATAATCGAGACTTTATTATCGTAACAACGGTAGCAATGACAATTGAGACAGCACTGTTCTTCAAACGGCCATAATTCCGCTCGGAGTGAAGTAATTTGACTGAAAGTTTCAGTATACTAGCCCCTTTTCATTTTTTAACTATTATAGTGAAAACTGTTAGCTTTTTTTTTAAGGCAGGACACTACCTAAGAATTTTACATTGATAACAGAAACTTGCCATTTAGTGTAATATTAGTATATGATGTCCCAAATCAGATTTGATAATTTGAGCGCAAAATGTTTATTTGTTTTCATGAAAATGGTCGCCATATTGGATTTTTTTTATATATTCACGGTGGCTATGTTAGGAAATCAAAATCTTCAACAATTTTATTGAAACAAACTATTTGTGATTTGGAATAACATATATAGGCATTAAAGAGTGCAATAAGGCATAAATTTTACTATTTGAATGTTAATAAAGAACATTATGCATCCCACATAAAACAAGTGGGTGTGGCCGAACACACCACTAAAAGGATTTTGTACAATAAAATGTCCAAATGTATAACAAACACTTTGAAAATCATCTTATTGCAAACAATAGCTATAGCACTAATCGTATTCCAAAGATGAGACCATTATCTCTCATAGATTTTGAGAATTTGATTTTATAAGACCTGATATGGGTGAAAAATTGAGTACGGAAAAAAGCAAGTTAAAAGTTAAAAATTTGATTTACCTATACAAATGACTAAATATTTAACACTATATAATATAAAGGCTGGACACGACTTGAAAAATCAACAAATTTTAACTATTTTGGGCAATTTTAGCTGATATCAAAATTTGACAGATCAATCTATACAGAGTGTTTTATAAGGTAGTGTCTTGCCTTAAATCTAAATCTTATATAATACATCTTTAAGAGATTGTATACACGAATCACAGATAGGTCACTTTAGGTGATTTAGGTCTTTGAGGCTTGGGACTTGTCCCTTGAGGGAATGCAACAAGTTTGTGCATTGGAAGTGGACTTTTAGGACGCACCCCTTGTTCAGGTGATGCTTCGTTATCGCTGGTAATTTGGGATGCTCGTGGTGCTCCAGAAGAGGTTTTAACAATCGTAGGAACCTGTGACAATTCATTGACGCCAGTGTCTTCCCTTAGATTCCTTTGTGCGCCTTCTGATTTTTCCAATGCGTTGGTACCCATGTTGGCACCGGTTGTGGTTTTGCATCTAATGTCCTCCTCTGGTCTGGTCGTTGTCCCCGAGGTGGTGGTTGTCGAGGTGTTGGTTGTAGTCCTCGAGGAAGTCGTAGTTCCCGAGCTGGTCGTTGTCCCCAAGGTGGCGGTTGTTCCCCCATCTGTCGTTGGTAGAACTAGATCAAGGGTTGACGTAGATTTGTCCTCACTCTCAATCTTTTTAGAGTCTAGGACAATCTCCTGATTGGAAAGTTGCACACCTTCCATGATTCCAGAAGTTCTGATTTTTACGGAGTATGTTTGAGTTTTGCCATCAGCCGAGGGTACGGAAATAAATTCAACATTCGGAAAGTTCATGAAAACATCCTTTAAATTGTTGATGTAAAATGAGGACACGACCTCACCGCCTTTGCGTTTCTTAATCGCGACAGGTGCCTTGTTTAGAGGCATAGTTATAATTGTGTCCAGAGTGAAGTCATAAGATACATCTCTGTGCTTTAAAATCACTCCTGTGATATAGCTGTGTTTTTTCTCTACAAAGATATCACTCGTAGTTTCCAACACCAACGTATCTTCAAAATTCTCGGCATCGGTCTTCGTGACTTGCAAGGTCATGTTTACGTCGCCAGAGAACTTTCCTCCAGCAACTGGAAGTCCAAGAGAAAATTGAGCTTTCCCACCAAATGTGAAACCTTTCTGGAACGTAACAGTCACGCCTGCCTTACGCGTGCGTTCAAATCTGAATTTGTACGTTTGATCTGTTCCCGTGTTGTTACGGAATTCAGTTCTGAGGTCTGAAGTATGGTCGCCATGTTTGTGATCATGTCCTGAGCGTGACAGTTCTTTCTTGAGTTGACGAGGAGTCAGCTGTTGGTTGACGTCTTCTGTGTGGTAGAAATTCAGAGGAACATCGACAATAAAATCTCGTCGACGTAAAAATGTTTTAGCACATACACCCTGAGTAGACTTAAAATTGTTCCAGGCGAAATCTTCTAAAATCTTTTTGATGTCCAGGATTTCGTTCTGCTCGGTTCGCGGTGCCCCACGCACGCAGCACAACATTGCAATTTTCATACAGCTTTATCGAATGAAAAACAGCAAAAACTAGAATTTCTAAATTTGGTATTTCTCTGAAATAGAAGATAAAAATAAAACTTAATTATTGAATGTCATGAATAAAAAATATATACGAATATACCTTTTTTTTAGTACATGGGAAATTTTCCATCGCATAAATGTCCATTGACATGAAATGAAATATAACGTCCTACTTTTATACACCAACTGGGCCATTTTAAGTTAACCGTCATTTTTTTCCTGATGTATATGTCCGGAGAATTCCTGACGGCAGAAATTCAAAATGAAATCCAAAATTGCGGAATATTATTTAATCGGCATTTGTTTCAGTTAGATATGGCTTTTAATATGTCTTATGTAAGGGTTTTGAAGTTGCTGTGTTCAGTTTCTACTCAAAAAACAAGCCAAGATAGTATAAATTTAAAACGGCAATCAAAATAGAATCCAGAATTACGATTTTTGTTGTTGTGAATATTGCTTATAAAATAACTTTTTCAGGGTTACTGAATTCAATATTGGATTCAAAAATTAATTTCCGATAAGATTGTCACACATCAAATTTGTGCACATGCTAGAAACATCAAGGCATACTATAGATAACATAAATTTAGTCAGCTTTTCAAAAGAAATGTCGCGCCGGGGAGGAGAGAACCGCAACGGAGGTCAGGTTCAGGAGCCATTCCGCCCCCGGTCCACCCCTGGTAGCATCTAGACACTAGACCGATAGTAAACACGGGTTCATTTATGTCTGTTATTCATTTCACAAATTCTTGCAAGTGTCACGGAATTACTGTTTTTCGCCAGCAATGGACACTATACAATACATATGATACGAGGGACAGGCTGATCTTTGCTCCGTGAGGGGAACAACGGGGTTCTCTCCAACCCAGGCCCGTAGCTAGCAGGTGACCATGGGGGGGGGGGGCGCTGCCCCCCTCCCACTCCCTGGGAAAAAATCGGCGCATTGGACGCAATATAAAGCCAACGACCAACGTGCGCATATCAGTATGACGAGATTGGCGGGGCAACCAACCAATGTCACTTGGTTTTATGGGCGCCTCGCCAATCATGTCGTTATGAGGCGCCCCCAAATAGCGAGGCGCCTCATAATGAATCACATAATTAACACCACAACTTGATTGATGAGGCGCCCAAAACGTGATCTGTGTGGTGCCTTATCCCGGGGGGGGGGGGCTTAATGATATGATTGGTGGGGCGCCTCATAATGACAATATATTACTGTCGGGTAGCACATATAATGCATAATGCCGAGTGAGATTGGTTGAGCACCCATGATTTGATCAATGGGGCCCCAAAACGGCATGACTGGTGGAGTGCCTCATCCGTGAGGGGCGCCCATAATGTCGAGGATGGTGGGAAGCCGACCACGAAATCTACCATAAGAAAGCCGACTGGAGATTGCTGGAAATTTTCCAGGTCAAATTCACGATGAAAATGAGATTGAGTCAAGCCCGCGCCAGGCGTGATAATCTTCAAAATTCAAACAAATCACTCTAACCCGATTCCAAACTTTTCGTTTTTCTCATAAATCATTATAACTACGTTAAAGTCGTATTCCTTCATTCAAATTTTTATAATGTTCATATTAAATTATCATAATAAGCCAATATGATAATTCAGCCTCAAAATCGAATTTTTCCGTCATTTTCATAGTTCCTCTCCTCAGGTGCAAACCATATTTTTCAAATTTTTATGGGTGAAGAGCACCCTACGGGCTTGCAACCAGGCTCTAAATTACTTTTGAAAAAAAAAACTGACTGTAGACGGTGTTTTCTAGAGTATATCCTGGTGTGTCTATGCATATATCCTTACAATTCACCAACAACGACGTAAACTCATGACTACGCAAGAACATTAACTAATATAATCCTTGAGTGGCATTTAGTGATTGGGCACATTAAAAAAACACAATTTATATGGAATACAATCACTGGTTTATACACATAAAGCACGACGTTTTGACAAGTATTCTCTTATCGTTTTCAAGTACAAATGATAAATTAGCAAACTAAAAGGTAATGATCAATTCATTGTTAGGTCGTGTAGAATGATGTAGTGATAAAGCGTGTTACAAATTCCCGTATTACATGGTAGACCTTAAATTATCATAATAACAATTGTATGTTATTTTTGTTTCCGTTTTGTACAATGAACAATTTATTGCTAATTCGCGCAGAAAGATATGGTTTCAAACGTGTTACAAATTAACAATTGGTATATTAGTCGAGTATTTTATAGCTACAAGGAAGTATACGTTTAATGGATTTCCAATATCCCCAGGGCACTCATTTTCTTTTTTTATGTTTTGGGTGCTCTTGTTTGGATCAAAATTTAACCAATGCACTATGTTTAGCCAAAGATGAAGGCATTAGGTATTTTGGTCAATATTCAAATTTATGTTAAAACTAGGACATTTGGGGACGTAGGGGTCATTAGCAGTAAAGGGGGGGGGGGCGAAAGACCAGGAGAAACACCACGGCTTTGGACAGGCGAACCTGCTCCTTGTCGCATACAAGAGAGAGCAGACCTAACACCTGTCAATCACTATTGAATTTTGTTTCTAACTTGCTTGCACTAAGAGCCGCGTCTTAATGAAATATGGAAAAAGAAATTGATCGTTACAGCGTGGAATAACTGTAGATCGCGTAACCTATATTTAATTCTACGTCATTCATAAACAATGATCTGTTTAAGGCAACGATGACATCATTCGCCAACTGTGACCTCTTTTAGAGTGAACAAACAACTTGTTTTTCCATGCAGTAGACCAAAAGCGTAGCCTAGCCTCCCACACACATAGCTCTTCTTTTCAGTGGTGCAGGGCGGAGGGCCTAGCAACGACAGGGCCTAGTCGTTTGGATTGTACGAAAAACCAAGGTCCCGCGTACACCTTGGTGTGCATGTAAAAGAACTCTTGAAATTTGGAAATCGAAATAGAGCAGACCCTACTGCATGGTATGGCGGAGGGCCTAGCAACGACAGGGCCTAGTCGTTTGGATTGTACGAAAAACCAAGGTCCCGCGTACACCTTGGTGTGCATGTAAAAGAACTCTTGAAATTTGGAAATCGAAATAGAGCAGACCCTACTGCATGGTATGGCGTATGTCCGTCTTCATTAGCCCAGTTGGTGCAGAAAGGTAAGACTTTAAACCCTATTACATTTCATTTCCACACAGTGTTTTGACCAGGACGCTTAACTTACGCCAATTTACTTCGGGTAATTCAATCATGATCAAATACACCGGGTGTCTTGCGTGAGGCAGGGCGTGCTTACTAATTTTAGTAAACCGCTTCTCATTCGAAGAGTTCACGTGAAATGAAATGAAATGGGGTTTAACATCCTACTGTTCTGCTCATAACCTGGGCTAATGAAGACGGGCATACGCCATACAGTGTGCTATGAGGGAAATTTTGCCCGGGCAGCGGCGCTACGGCCTACTCTTATATCGAATTCCAACTGCCAAGGGATCTTTTACGTGCACGCCAATGTGTACACGGGACCTCGGTTTTTCGTCCCATCCGAACAACTAGACAGCTGTCCTTGTCAGGCCCTTCATCCTGCATCACTGACAAGAGGAAACCACGCCGGAAAATCTGAATGAACTTTCTCCGCCAATGCAGGGATCGAACACCCGACCTCCAGGCTAGCGAGCAATCGTCTTACGATGAGTTCGCATAGTCAACATACTTTTGTGGTACCATAGATTGGTCCAATGTTATAATTGATCGATTCTTTGTTCGATAGTTACAGTTTAAACATGAAATTAAAGTTAATAAACATACATAGTTCCGCTTACTATAGCAAAAAAAAATGTTACTATACAGTTACCAAACTGTAATTACACACGTATCTACCCCTAACAATATGTAATTATCAAAATTGTAACCACACCGTTATCAAAATATAATTACCAATATTTTATTACACACTTATCAGCCTTATCAAAATGTAATTACACACTTATCAACCATAATTAAAATGTAATTACACATTTGTCAACCCTTAGCAATATGTAATTACACACTTGACAGCCCGTTACAAAAACAAATGTAATTACAACATTCTCAACACTTATATCAGAATGTAATTACAACATTCTCATCACTTAACAATATGTAATTACGCACTTATCAACTCTTATCAAAATGTAATTACACATTTATCAAGCCTTATCTATACTAATATTTTTGAAGGACGTTTGTCTGTCGGTCCGTATGTTCGGGGTAGCTCGGACCGGGGAGTAACATAGGCCAGGTGGCGTTAGTCTACCACTTCCGGTTTCGGGGTTATGACCCCCGAGCGAAGCCGGGCGTTATTCTAGTCAAATTATAATTGCACACTTATCAATCGATATCAAAATGTAATTACACACTTAACAACCCTTATCAAAATGTAATTAACCATTATCAGCCTTAACAAAAAATGTAATTACACACCTTTCAACCATTTGCTTTATTACGAAATACGTATAAAACAGAGAAACCTGATTAAGTTGATAGCTGTCCTTTAAAATTCTTTCAAGGTTTTCAATCTTTGGCCAATTATTGTGAGTTGCTAGGCAACAGTTAGTTTGGCTGATAAAGACAGAAATATTGTAGATATTGAAAGTTCCGCGGGAAAGCCAGCACAGTGGGTGTTAATTACACGACCGAGTCCATTCTTACAGAAACAGCGGCGAAAATTTGTTTTATTCAGTTAAGGTACTTTTAAATAACATGCTAACATCCCGATCTTTTGTGACGGTGTTTCAAGAAACGTGGGGTTTAACGTCCACTCAACAGAAACTATGTTATTTTTGAACAAACGGAGGCTAAGGAAACTTGGAAATAATTCATTTATTAAATTGAGAATTATTCCAACAATTCGACTGTTAAAACGAGAATTATTTCAACAATTCAACTCTTAAAGGAGAATTATACCGACAATTCAACTCTTAAACTCTTAAAGGAGAATTATACCGACAATTCAACTCTTAAAGTGAGAATTAAACCGACAATTCAACTCTTAAAGTGAGAATTATACCGACAATTC